ATAGACGGCAGACTTGCCAGGCCCCACATTCCCGTCAACTGGTTCCTAAAAAGGAATCTCTCTCTGTTTGTTTATAGAAGTCCTATTGTTTCTGATTTCTCTGGAGAACCCTGTCTAAATACAGTGGCGATTTGTCTTCCTGGATATTCTCATCCAGGAAATGGGGGGAAGGAGATAACAGATCTGGACTCATTCAGGACCTGTTCCAACCCCGCAGGTCCAGTAAAGGCAGCCATCAGGGCCGGAGGCACCGGCGTCTGGTTCGCCGAGGGTCCCGTTAACAGAGGGTTACCATCTAGGCCAGAGGTTGCAAACCCGGGTCTGCGGTTTTGCGTGTACTTCAGAGCCCGCTGCGGGGTCTCCGGAAGGCTTGTTCACGCACGGGGTTGGGGAGACGTGCCACTCCAGCGGCTCTGACGGAGCAGGTCCAGTTGGGTACCTGGAGGCTGCGTTTCTAATGAGCTTCCAGGAGGGGCCGAGGCCGCCCACCTGGAACCACCCTTGGAGCCGTGGGCGCCTCGGGTTGCCCCGGAGCCTCGGCTGCTGGTGATGAGACAGAGCAGGGTTGGCGGAAGGGGACCCGGAGGCCCTAAGGGTCCTGGAGGCCTCGGCCCAGGAGTGGAGCGCCTTGGAGGGTGGGCGTGGGTCTGAGCCTGTCGCTCCCTGCCTGGTCCCCGTCCAGCACCTCGGTCTCCCTTGGTCCTCCTGAGAAGGGGACCCTAGAGGCACCAGGGTCAGCCAGTGTAAACTCCGTACCCCGTTACATAAGCCGTCAAACTTGACACATCTCCCAAGGTTTTGACCTGCCCCCACCCTGCCACTGCCCCCATCCATCAAGAGTCCCTGATAAGCTACACAGTGTTGTTCTGAGTGCAGTACCTCACTTAACCCTTCCAACGCCCCTTAGAAAGCACGTGTATTGTTCCCATTTTTACATGAGGTTGCACGGCAGGTAGGCTGTGCCCAGGATTCAAACCTGGGCTGCTGAGTCTGCTCTTAACCTCTGCATGGCAATGACAGGGAATGCGTGCAGCTGGAACAGAGGGGGCGAGGCGGAAGGAAGCCTGAAGTGGGGGCAGGACCTGCAGGGCCCTCCAGCCTGGGGAGGATTTGGGGTTTTGTGTGACCTGGAAGGGGAAGCCACTGGAAGATATTCAGGCAGAGCTGTGGCAGCATTTGATTTGAATATTTAAAGCCCTTTCTGGCTCTGGTGTGCAGAAGGGAGGTGGGGCTAGGGTTGCAGCAGTGAAGCCTGGCCCCCTCCCCGGCCAGTGCTTGACCTGGTACGAGGCAGCTGGTGCCAGGCAGGGGGTGGAGGAGCGGGGGACGATGCCGGCTGCAGCGTGGACGTGGAATGGGCAGCAGCGGTGGGATATGGGGGATGAAGGAAAGAGAGAGGTCAAAGCCAATGGGTTCTTAGGGTTCTGGTTAAACCAGAATATTCTAGACCTGTGGTTCAGGACCGCAGTCTCCAAATCCTGTCCTGCCTAAATGACAAGATGTCTTATAAGCTGGGGCCCGTGGGCCCTGTAGGGGCTGAAGCCTCTGTGTCTTGTTTACTGCTGTCCGCGGCAAGGCGCTCAGGAATGTTTGTTGAATGAATGAATGAGCCCTGCCTTCTCTTTGCCTCTGTTAACCCATCTCTAAAAGAGACTACTAATTTTGTCACCGTGACTTCCAGCCCCTTCACTGGCAGTCTGGTCACCAGGCCTGTGCCCATCCGGGCTGTCTGCGAGCGGGCCCTGGCTCCTGGACCCCGTCTCCAGCCTGAAACCTCAAATTACCTGTGGGGCGGCCGCTGCACCAGGGAGCCTTCTCATCTCACCCAGATGCGCATGGCAGGCCCAGCCCTCCCTTAATGACACCTTGCCTGCCTGCCCTCTTTGCTGGAGTAGGAGGGGAGGGGGCCCGGCCCAGCCTGAGCTGTGGTTTCTTTTTCCATTGCGTCAGGCCTCAGGGTCCGGCCCGCCCACCCGCCCGATGCTGGGCTGGCACAGAGGGGCCCATTCCAACCAGGCCCGCCCCAACTCTGGACACCATGTGCTCCCCGTTTCGGGGATCCAGAGGCTTCCAGCCGGAGGGTGAGTTGGGGCTAGGGGGCCTGCCCCGAGCTGGGGGGAGTGCCCCCCCCCTGCCCACCCATCGCTCCCTCGCGCTGGGGCCTGTGAGCTGAGCCAGGTGGAGTGGCAGTCCGCTCGCAGGGGCCCGGCCCGGCCCTCTCCGTGACCTTCCCTCCTGCGCATGCCCTCAGCCAGGCCCCGGCCAGGGAGGGCGGGAAGACAGTGTGGTGACCCAGGCAAGTGATGATGGCTACTTGGCCCAGGGGAGAGCGGGGGTGGGGAGCAGTGGCCCAGAGCGTTCACACGAGCACATGCCTTTGCATCTCTTAGTCCGGGGGCATATGTGTACGGGTCTATGTGACCACACACATGTACGTGCACAAGGAAGTAAAGGAACCTGAGTGTGTGTGCCTGACTGTGAAAGCAGACCCGTCCGACTTGGCAGCAGAGGGCGCAGTGGCCCAGGTGGCATCTAACGTGTTGGGAAGGGGGCCCGTGAGGTGGGTGAGCTGGAATCCACCCCATCAGCAATGATGGGAGATGGAGGGGTGTAGACAGGGCGACCCTAGAGAAACGGGTGACCTTGGGCACCCTGGGACCCTCTTTGCCTCAGGCCCCCTTTGGCCTGGCTGGCTCCCCGCGGTCCCTGCCTCGGTCCTAGTCCCCTGCCATGCTCGGCAGACCCTCTGCCCCACCAGAAGGCCAGCCGCCTGGAGGCCCTGCTCACGCCCTGCCTCTGCTGTTTCCCGGCCCTGGCACCGCGGGCAGGTGGCATCTGCTCTCTCGGCCTCAGTTTCCTCATCTGTGCAGTGGGGGTGGCTGTCACACCCCACCCCACCTCCGGGTGGCTGTAAGCATAAGCAGGCATTCTCTCAGCCACATGGCAAGATGTCCATTTTGGACATCATTCTCCCTCCACTCCCCCGCCGCTAGGGTCACGCTCAGCCCGCTCGACTCCGCACGGCCACCCAGCCACTCTCAGGGAGAGGGAATACCGCTCTCCAGCCCCTCCATGGAAACTCATTTTTACACGACAAGAATAAATCTGCAGGCAAATTGCAGTGCTGCCCTGCTGCTCTGGGCTCATGTGATTATAATGAGGTTCTAGGGACAGACGATGAGAGGGAGGGGCCGAGCGCCGGCTTTGTCACTGTCCAGATCCTCTCCTCGCCGGGGAGGCCCGGAGCTGCTGTCCAGAGGGCTGCTGGCCCTCTGCGCCAGCGCCACACTCACTTGCAGACAGGGAGCCGGTGACTTCTCAGAGCAAGGCTGGCACTCAGGGAGTGGCCTGTGGCCAGGGTCGGAGGGAGGGAGAGAGGGGGCAGCGTGGCCGCCTTGGATCGGTCCTCCCGGCCTGCATGCCAGCCGCCTTCTTAACCAGCCTCCCTGCTGCCTCTGTTTAGCCTGACAACCCTTCTCCCCACAGGGGCCAGAGTGAGCTTTTAAAACCAAATCAGATCGTGTCACCTGTCTGCTTGAAACCCTCCAGGACTTCTGTCGCTCTCAGAATAATGCCCCAACTCCCTACCGTAGTAGAGCCTCCGGCCTGGGAGACCTGGCTGCGGTCCCCGTTCCCGCAGCCTGGCAGGATGGCCCGAGCTGAGCCCGGGCAGTCTTCTTGCCACAGGAGCCCCGCCCTGGCATGGCGCGCGGCACCTAGCAGACACCCAGTAAACACTCTCGGATGAATGGATGTGCCTCGGTGTCCCCCTCTGGAGAATAGGGTGCTGATGGTAGCTGCCCCGCGAGACTGGACAAGAACTGGAGACTGCGCAGGTGACGTGCTCAGTTCGCAGGCAGGGCTCTCGGGAGCACAGTAGCTTAGATGTGTCGTCCCAGAGAGAGCACCCTCCTCTTGCCTCCCTCCCCTGCCAAGGGCAGGCCAGGGCACGGCTGGGTCCTCGACAAGGAGGGGACAAAATATTAGTCAAGGAGTTGGGGCCTGGCCTTTGTAGGTAAGCATTTGGGGCTGGACTCATCCACCTAGTGATGGGGCTGGTGCTCACTAAACACGGGCAGTGGAAATAAGACCCGATCACAGGAGTCTCTCAGATGGTGTTGTGATGGCTCATGGGCAGATGAGGGAACTAAGACAAGGAGAGCCAAAGGGCTGGCCCATGGGGCCTGTGGCCTGTGGGACCCAGAGCTCCCCTCCGCCCCTTGGAGCAAGATGGGTTTCTCCGCACTTGCTCCACATAAACACTTGCACCTGGAGAACTGCTTAAAGCAAGCAATGCCAGTGGTTAGCCTTCACAGCAGAAGGGGCACATAGGGTCCAGCGCATGGAATTTTGGGAGGTTGTGTACCAGTGAAAGGGAAAACTCTGTTGAGGATGAGGACAAAGTCAGGCAGGATCTGAGCGAGACAGAGGGCTTATCTGTTCATTGACTTGTACACTCATGCTTTTTTAAATTCAAATATATACTGAGTGCATCCTATGCACCAGTCACATGCTTAGGCCCGGGATACAGGATGAACAAGAGGGATGATGAAAAAGACCAAGTATTGGATAAGTTGCCGGAAGTGAGCTTCCTAGTGGCCAAAGCAACGAGGGAAACCTGAGTAATTACAAGCTCCAGTGCAGCCACAAGACGCCAACATGTTAATCGCTCAGGAGAAGCGAGGTTTTCCTGGCAAAGTGAATGTTGGGGACACCCGTGTCCACTGTGATTTGTGGCTGGCCTGACTGGGGCAACTTGGACTTGTGCGTTGCTCACAGGTAAAGGTGGACCAAAGCAGAGTCACTTCACAGACCAACTAAACGCAAGGACAGCGTCTCCTTGTTCCTGCATTTCCTGCGTTCTCCTTTCTCCAATCTTTTGCCCATGTTATTCCCTGCCCCCGACCCCACACCTTTCCTCTCTCTGGCCACATCCTGAAGGTCAGGCGGTGTAGCAGGTGTCCATTCCCCGTCTCTGACCCCCACTCCTGTCCCCGCAGACTGCCAGGAACTGCTGCCGCCGCCGCCGCCTCCGGCCCCCATGGCCTACACACCGGGCGGGGGCGCCCCGGCCTCTGGGGCGGCCCCCATGGGTTCCCAGTACTGCGTGTGCAAAGTGGAGCTGTCTGTGAGTGGCCAGAACCTGCTGGACCGGGACGTCACCTCCAAGTCCGACCCCTTCTGTGTCCTCTTCACAGAGAGCGATGGCAGGTGGATTGAGGTGAGGCCTCTCCATGGGCCTCTGGTGGGTGGGGGCGGGTGGGTGCGGGAGAGGGGCTACCGCTGGTCCCGGGGCTTCCCAGTCGGGCCCTTGGGCGTCATTGGAGTGTGGGCTGAGGACTACTTAGAAAATTGTTACTCTTAAAATTACTTAAAATAATTATATTTGTGTTTAAATTTTTATAATTACAATTCGTAGATTTAGATTTATAAGTATATCATTTTGTATTTATTGTTTTCTATCATAATGCGTTATTACATAGTTAAAACCTTAGCATTTTACAAAATGCTTGCCTCCACTGTTAAGTAACTTTTCCCACTTACTCCTAAATGAACACACAGTCAGTGAGGGACAAATTGGGAGGTGGGAACCCAGGCCTCGGACTCCATGCTGGACCAAGGCCCAGTTCTGTCCCTCCTTGCTGTGTGGCCTTGGGCAAGTGGCTGCCCCTCTCTGAGACAGCCTCGTCTGTGAAATGAGGATTTCCCCCAGCCCACCGTGGAGGGCCCTGAGCTGGGATGCTGATGGGGCGATCGCCGTGGACTTGTGAGCTGGGAAACATCAGCCCGAGACCCGGGGGGGTGATGAGCTTGAGGGAGGATATCGAGAAGTCAAACGGATAAGATGTTCCCGTTTTAAAAGTTGCTTTGTTCCTATTCCCAAAAGGGTCTATATTCATTGTCGTAAATTTAGAAAAGCTAGAGAGACCCAAAAAAGAAAACCAGAATGGTTGGGAACCTGCCTGTCAGGGAGAACCTCTATTTAAAGTTTGGTGTCCAGCCTTCCGGAGAGTTTTATGTGCATGTCGATTTTCCAAAATATGGGTCCATTTGTTGTCGCAATTAACCAGGCCACAGTGGACCTCCCGCCGAGCATACTGGGGTCCACAAAGGCTTTCCACAGGTGCTGGCTCCTTGCAATGCCAAGGCAGCGGTGCTGAGGCTGTGGACCCGTTTTACAGAGGGACCCCTGGGGCCCAGGGCAAGCAGGGGCCTCTGTGTGTCACCCAGGGCTTTGGTGATTCCGCCAGAAGTGGGGGGTGGGGCGTGGGGGGTCAGTTGAGGACTCCTGGGGAGGAGCGCCAGGCCTGAGGACGGCATATCTGGAGCACCCTGTCCCCTCTGCCAGGTTTCCGGAACCCCCGCCTGCCCTTCAGGGAATGGCGTCCTCCTCCACGGCCCCTGACCCCCGGCCCCTGACCCCCGCTCACGGCACTCCCCCACCCTCCCTAACTACCTCCCTCCCACCCAGGCAGACCACACTGGCTAAAAATAGCCTAGGAGCAAGACCTCTCCCTGCTGCTCCAGCCCTTGGAAGTGCACAGGGTGGCAGGAAAAATCAACACAGCCGGGGTCCCAGAATAGACAGTCACCCCAACTCCACGGTTTGTGGCCTCTGTGTGGAGAGGCCACAAGGCGTGGACCCTGTCCCAGCCCCACCACTGATCCACATCACAGGCCTCGGTTTCCACAGTAGGTGGGCCTTCTAGGGGCTACACCGTTCCAGGTTTGACATTCCAAGATTGTGTACAAGGCACAAACATCTGCCCTCTGAGGGGTGAGAAGCCCTTAGCCCCTCCTCCCCTTGAGGAGCCCTCCTTTCTGTTTCCTCTCTCAGCTTCCACATAAAATGTGGTTTTAAAAAAGGATTCTCCCAAAATAAAAGGAGTAAAAAACACAGAGTCCAATACCTTCATTGTACAGAAGTGGCAACTGAGGGCCCGATGGAAAAAGGGACTTGCCCTCTGTCACCCAGGCAGGGACAGGGCCCGAACTCTCCTCCTGATCCCTGGGCATGGGGCCAGGACCAGAGAGTTAAAAGTGTGGGTGCTGGAGTCAGCTTGGGTTCAAAGCTTGGCCCTGCCCCTCCAGCTGTTCCACCTCGGGTAAGTCCCTTAATCTCTCTGTGCTTCAGTGCTCCCCTCTTTGAGCTGAGGGCAGTGAGCGCAGCAGCCACCAGGTAACTGGCTCAGTGGCCAGTACAGAGTTGCTGTTCAGCGAGCTGGTGGCGTGACTTCCAGCAGCCCGAGAAGAGTTGCACGAGCCCCCAACTCTGACCCCTGTCTCCCCGCCTCTTTGCCAGTACGACAGGACAGAAACTGCCATCAACAACCTCAATCCCGCGTTCTCCAAGAAGTTCGTCCTCGACTACCACTTTGAGGAGGTGCAGAAGCTCAAGTTCGCCCTGTTCGACCAGGACAAGTCCAGCACACAGCTTGACGAGCATGATTTCCTGGGCCAGTTCTCCTGCAGCCTGGGCTCGGTGAGCTGGCCCCTCTAGGTGGGCGGGGCCAGGCAGGCCCCCACCCCCAGGCGCCACCCAGATCCCAGGGACAGGGCAGTCCCTTGGAGAGGGTCTCTCTGGCCACAGGCTTTCCCCCAGGCCGTGCTCCTGGCTGGCTCCTGAGGTGACATCCCAAATACAGATAGCCTGGGGGGCCAGCAGGCAAAGCCTGGTGGATTTGGGGCCCGGTGAGAGATAACATTGGAAGTCACAGACCCCGGTGCCAGCCAAAGGTTGCCACACAGGAACGGGGGTCCCACATTGTCCAGAACTACTGGCTGTTAGGGGTGATCAAGTGCAGTCCTGACTTCCTGGGGTGGGAGGATCCCACTGGCGACCAAGACACCCATGGTAGTCCTACTTTGTGGCTGGCTCACTGTGTGACCTTGGGCAACTTCCTTTCCCTCTCTGAGCCACACCTCTCCTTCGAGCTCCGTCCTTGGTGAGCTTATGGGAGTTGGGAGGTTGCACTGCAAGGAGCCCCTGGCACAGGTGCCAGTCATCCCTCATGGCTGTGGGCCCTTGGACAAGCCCCTGTCCCTTCTGGGCCTCAGCTTCCCCACATTTCACCTGCAGATAATGATGATGTCCAGCCTGTAGGGATGGTGAGGGAATACAATGGGAAACACCCTGAGAGGTCCTAGTGGAGCCGGAAATGCGCTGGGCCTTCCAAGAGGTGATGGCCAACGAAAAAAGCAAGGGTCCAGAAGTTGTGTAAGAATAGGAGGGCATCCAGGGTCCCCGCTGGCCTGTGTGTAACTGGCCAAGGAGGGTGTGCAAGGGACACACCCTTGCAAGGTAACCGATGACAGAGCCTAAGGCTGAGTGGGCAGGGACAGGGAGCTGACCAGGGAGGGGAACCTACGCAGGACCTGACGCCAGCCCAGCAGCCACCCTCCCTGGAGGGAGGGGCAGGGCAGGAAGTGGCTTTGGCAGGGCCTGGTGAGGGCTGTGGCCCTGCTGAGAGGCCTGTGCACTGGCGCTGAGGCTGATGACCAGGAACAAAGCTTCTGCCAAATCGCGGCCCGGCCTCCTGCTCTCCCAGCTCCCTCTGGCGTCCCTGCTGGCTGAGCCCCCACAAGCCAGAGGACAGGGGAGCCGGGTGCCAGAGTCCCCTGTGGCACAGAGGAAGAGGAGAAGGGCAGCGAGGGGACCTGAGGGAAAGAGCAGCACACGGGGTGTTGGAACATGCTCCCACCAGCACGAAGACACGCTGGCATTTCCCCCGAGAACCGGAGGGTGGGCTGGCCCATGCCGGGTGTGGGGATGGCTATACAGACATGGAGGGAGGGCGACTTGACCGTGTGGTCTGCTTTTCCTTTCTGTATTGGATTGATCCCTGAAGCATGTGTGCACGTATTTCCTATGCAAATCAATGAAAATATGTAGGGGACTTGGGGTTTGAGCCTCTCTCTCCAGGGAGGGTGGCGTCTGCGTGTGGCTTTGGGGGAGGCAGTTAGGGGGCTGAACTCCCTACATCTGTCTCCAGGATGTGAGCCCTGCAAGAGCCTTTCCCTGGGGGCAGCCAGGTCAGTGGGGGCCGGACTGCTGGGGCTCCATCCCAGCGGGGGGGCCTCAGTCTCCTCAGGCACCCAGTGGGGCCAGCAACAGCGGCTGCCTGCCTCCCGTGGCAATCAGGGAGAGAGGCTTAGCCCGCGCCTGGCATGGAGCAGCGTGCTGTGGGGTGGCGTCTCTGGAGCCTTTTTCCTCCACGCCCATCCTCACGGAGCTGCTCTCCCTTCTGTCGTCCCTCAGATCGTCTCCAGCAAGAAGATCACTCGGCCTCTGCTGCTGATGAATGACAAGCCGGCGGGGAAGGGCTTGATTACGGTACTCCCCGCCCCTCCCCCCACAGCTTCTGCCCGCTGCTCTCCCCCATCAATGGGCCCTTCCCTGGCAGATAATCACCAGCTTTGTTTGGAGTAAAAAGATCCAACTTACAACTTAGCAACAGGTCTCTTAGCAACCGGCTTCTGGCTCCGCATAGGATGCATTGGGGGCTGCCAAGCTGGGGGTAGGGGGCTGTTAGTGAACCCCACCACCTCTTACTCGCGGGGCAGGTGCATTCCTACTTGCCTCTGGAGGCCCCAGAGCCCTCCCAGCATCCCCTCCACGCTGGCCCCTGCCAGTCCTCCGTGGGGCGTCTTTCAGGAGCGCCTTGCTCATCAGAGCTGGGCTGGCGGTGGCAGCGCACAGGGATGCTGTGATGCGCAGCAATTGCCACGCTGCGCCGTGATTCTTGGCTGTGCTCAATGACTCCTGCGATGCACAACAGAACGCCCCTTTGCGCAGATGAGCTCCTCGGCCCTCAGGTTCCAAGAAGGCTGAGAAACCCAGTTTTATAGATGAGGGGACAGAAGCCCAGAGAGGAGGTGCCCTGAGGCGGTTCGGCCAGTGGGATTCTCTGCTGGATAATCCCCCCTTCACGGCCTGGGTGATTCAGAGAGCTGGCCCCACTGGAGGGAGGAGGGCCACCTGTGTGTGTGCAAACGGTGTCACTCCCCTGCTCCGGGACCTCCTGCCTCCGTGGGACCCGGCAGTTCTCAGGTTGCTTTGTTGCCCTGGCTGTTTTACCCCCTTCATGGACACGCCCTGGGTTCAAGGCCAACTGAACTCCTAGCACACCTTGCACATACCCTAGGTCCTTAGCCACCGTTCTGCCACCTGGAATGCCCTCTCCCAACCTGCTGCCACTTCTTGGGGTCCAGAACCTCCCCATCACCTGGCCTTCACAAGCCAGTTCCCCTCCACCTGGAAGCCAACCCACACGGGCCCCACCCAGCCTGACAGGCCGTTCCTTCTGGCATTCCCACCCGTTGGCTCTCGGCCTCGGGTCCTCTCTCTGTGAAATGGGTGCAGCAGTAGGACCCACCCCCAAGAGCTGTTGCGCATGTCTCACCTGGAGAAAGGAAGGGAAGGCAGGCGTCCAGCCGTGTCTGTGGTTCTGGGGGAGCCAATAGCGCGTTCAGTGAGGCCAGCCTAGACACGTTGGGGTGGGGAAGCCCCAGCCAAGAGAGGACCCAGCCCACGGTGTTGCTGTGGACCAGGGGGCCTTCCCTGCCACTCTTTGGGGATGGAGAGAGAAAGGCCTGGAGGGGGCAGACGGCGGTCCCAGGGCGACCCAGCTGGTGCCTCACTGGCTGGCTGGAGCCAGAGCTCCGTGACTGATGGGGAAGGCATGGAGGATGGATGACAGTGTGAACTGAGGAGACAGCAGAGCGAGCTCAGGTGGCTTCTGTCCCTGCCCCGGGCCTCAGTTTCCCTAACTGCGCGGCGAAGTTGCTGGAATTCCTGATACCTGGTGTTGGGAGGTGGCTGTGCTCTCTGGGTCCGCAGTGGGGGCCTGCGGGGGGGGCGCCCTGTCAGGCTGCTCCCTGGCCCAGAACCTGTCCCCAGGACTCGAGACCACACTTCATGTCTAGTCCCTGCTGTATCTCCCCTCTCCCTCCCATGGCCTCTTCTCTTGAGCCAAAAGGGGTCACTTTTTGATTCCTCATATCCAGCCAGGTTGCTCCATCTTTCAGAAGATGGAAACTGAGGTTTGGGGAAGACAAGTGACTTGGCCAAGGTCACCTGGCACGATCCTTACCCTCCCTAGGCCCTCCTAGCCCTGGACAATGGACTTCCGGGGCCCCCATGCCCACTCTGCCCGGCAGGGGGCCAGGGAGTCTAAGGAGCAGGTCCTGACCCCTGCCACCCCTCTGGCCTTGCAGATCGCCGCCCAGGAACTGTCGGACAACCGGGTCATCACGCTGAGTCTGGCAGGCAGGAAGTTGGACAAGAAGGTGAGGTGGGCAGAAAAGGGGGTTCTCCCTTGGGGAGCAGCACCCCTCCCCCACCCTGGGGTTGTGTGGCCCAGCCCTGGAACTCCTGGCTACCGCTGTCGTCACTGCCCACCAAGGACAAGCCCATAGCACAGGGCTGTCCCAGCCACCCCAAATTAGGACCTTTTCACCATTGAGGTAGTGAGTTTCCCGTCACTTGGGGGTATTCAAGACATGGCTCCTTGTCAAGACCCAGTCCCTGGGATTCCCTTTCTCACTTTGTGTACATGCAGTAACCTGCGAGCTCACCCCTTTCACCCTCCCCACCCTTGATCCCGCTTCCGCCAAATCGGCCTCCTCCTCGTCCCAGGATTACACCAGGCACCCTCCTGCCTCCAGGCCTTCGCACTTGCTGTTTCCCCTGCCTACAGTAGTCTTTTCCCTGAGTATTCTCATGGTGGCCCCTCACCTCTACCAGGCCTTTGCTCTTATGTCACCTCCTCAGCAAGGCCTTCCCTGAAATTGTAGTGGCCCCGGCTTTCCCGCCCCTCCTGCTTTACTTGTCGCCTTAATACAAATTACTGCCCTATGTACGTTATTTATTTAGTTACTTATTTTCTGTCTCCCCAACTTCATTATAGACTTTATAGAGTGACACTGTTTTTTAACTAAAAGAAATAGATTTCTAAAGGCCATCGCGTCCCGTCTGTAAGGGGCTTGGGAGAACTGCCACTTTTTCAGATTCCCCCTAAAATAAGTTAGGGTCATGTCCTGCTGGGGGCCTCCCCCTCACCCTGGGACAGGCACCCTTCGGAAGCCCTGCCTGGTGTAAGGTGCCAACGTGGTGTTCCAGGCCTCAGGGTCCCTCGGTCCCAGCTGTGGTCACCGCAGCCCGGGGTGGTCTCTATGGGGCAGGCAGCTCCGGGCTGCTCGCTGAGCCCGCCGAGGCTGAGGGGGAGGGGCCCGGCTGGCTCTGCCGACCGGGGCTGGGGAGCCCGTGGACTGCAGTCCCCGCCAGGCATCTGAGTCTGGCCTTTGTGCCCCGCTCACCTGCGTCCTCCCGTTTCCTCCAGGACCTCTTTGGGAAGTCAGACCCATTTCTCGAGTTTTATAAGCCAGGAGATGATGGCAAGTGGATGCTGGTCCACAGGACTGAGGTGGGTGTGTGGGGGCCCCGGGGTCTCCAAGCCACTGGGTCGGCAGTCTGCCCCCCCGCCGCCCCGCGGTCCAGGGTGCGGCTGTACAGTCTCAGCTGGGGAGTGCCAGGGGAACACGTGATGGCGCCTAAAGGACCCGCTCCCCCGCCACAGAGATGCCCGCCTCCGTCCTCAGAGCCAGGGCCACGGGGCTCTCCATCTTGCCACCGCCTGTCCCCGTTGGGCTGATCCGGCCCCAGCACACCACTGACCCAGGCCTGAGCTCACCCTCGCCCCTCGCTGTCCTGCAGGTGATCAAGTACACATTGGACCCTGTGTGGAAACCGTTCACCGTGCCATTGGTGTCCCTGTGTGACGGGGACATGGAGAAGCCCATCCAGGTGAGGGAGCCCAAGGGCCCTGCTCCCCGCCCCCCAGCTCCAGCCTTCCCATCCACCTGAGGCTTCTGGTGGGGGGGCCCCAGCAAAGCTCCTTCTTATTAAGGTGGAAAGAGACCCCCCTGTGGGGAAGGTAGGAGACCAGGTCTTCATCCCCGGTCAGCCTGGCGGTCCGAGTACGTGGGCAGGACAGCCAGCTTTGTGAGCGCCTTCTGTAAAGCAGAGTGGCTGTCCTGGTCTCCCTGAGGCCTGCGGGGCTGCTAGGTGTGCTAAGTAGGAGAATGGCTGTGGGAACCCTGGGAGAGACAATGCGTTGCTGTGACGGCGACAAAGATTGCTAGTCTCTAAATGCCCTCGGTCCTCAGGGGCTGTGTCTGATAGCAGGTGGGGAGGGGGTAGCGAGGTAGCTAGACCAGGCCAGGATCCCCAGATGGGGTCCCAGGAACCCTGGATTCTACTTCTGTGTCCCCTCCTGCCACCGAGGGACTTTGGGCACGTCCTTCCCCCTCAGGGCTTGTTTGCCCATCGGGAGAATGGGTGCCATAATCCCTGCCTTCCTCCTACGAGAGTCACGGCCGCCAAGTTAGAGAGCATATGAAGCGAGGGCTTTTTTGTACCCATCTTAGGGAAAAACGTCTAGGGAGGGTTCCAGACCATGCCCCGTGGAGCCTGGTGGGCCACAACTGAAGACAGATAAGGAGCTGAGCGACAGTGTGAGAGGAGCTGAGCTTCTTGCACCCTGGGGTGCAGCCTCCATTGCTGGGCGGCACACTTCCCCCTTCCCCCTTCTCCCAGCAATCATGGAGGGCTTCCTACAGGAGGCAGTCAGGAGCTAACAGCATCATCCCAGGCCAGTGAGGCAGGTGCCGGGGGGAGATGGAGGCAGCACCACCAGAAGGAGAGGTGGGGTTTGCTCAGGGAGCTGCAGGGATGCAGAGCTCCTTTTTGGGGGGCAGCTCTGGGGTGACCTCCCTGGACCCACCCCAGGTCATGTGCTACGACTATGACAACGATGGGGGCCATGACTTCATCGGCGAGTTCCAGACCTCGGTGTCACAGATGAGTGAGGCTCGCGATGGTGTCCCGGTAAGATGGGCGCATGTGTGTGACCGCAAACCTCGGCAGGGGACGGGGACGGGGCACATGTTTTGGAATCAGGCAGATTGGGGCTCAGATTTCATCTCTCTGGCTTTGTGAACTTGAGCAAGATATCCAGTCTCTCTGAGCCTCGCTTTCCGCATCTGTCAATGGAGGTGGAGGGGTAGAGTGGGAATTAAATGAGACGGTGCAGGTAAAGTGCCTGCACATCAAGAGGTCTGTGTCCATGTAACTCACCCTCAGAGCCCACACCCTGGGTGACGGTTCTGGGTTATGAGTAGGTATGACATGGATGTGTTGTCTTGGGGTTGGGGATCGATGCAGCTCCTCCTGCCTTGAAGAGTCACAGCTTGGTGTGAGCCCATGTGGTAGGACCCATTTCTGGATGCGGACATCCAGGAAGCCTTCCTGGAGGAGGCATGCTGCCCCTGGTCAATGCTGTGGAGGGGATTCTGGAGTCCAGGGGAGCAGCATTCCCCATGCAGACCCTGAGGTGAACTTCTCTTCCTCCTCCCATGTTGCCCAGCTGGAGTTCGAGTGCATCAACCCCAAGAAGCAGAGAAAAAAGAAGAACTATAAAAACTCGGGCATTATTATCCTACGATCCTGCAAGGTGAGCCAGTGGGGAGTAGGGGAGGCAAAGGGCAGGGCCAGCGAGGGCTGGGTTCCAGGCCTGGTTCTGCCAGCCCTGGTCCTGGCCCTGTGACCTCAGAGCGTCACCTGTGTGGGCCTCAGTTTCCTCATCTGTAGAACGGGGATGTTAGGGAGGGTGAGTCTCATATCAAGTCCCTTTACAGAGGTCAGGGAGGACATGAGATGACCTTCCAGAGCCCTTCCTCGTTGGAGGGTAGCTGTAGGGAGCTGCTGCTTCCCACACGGGCAGCTTGCCCATTATATGTTTGGTGTCCGAGGGGCAAAAGGTGTTGGGCCAGGGCACCTTGTCCACTGGCAGTGACATCAGTGAGGGCCCAGGTAGCTGTGACTCCCATGCTATAGCGGGGGTCCCTGAGGCTCAGAAAGGCGAGGAAATGCACTCCAGCAGTGGCTGGGCTCAGGTCAGCGGCCAGGCCCCCAGGCTGTCTAGTGGCCAGGTGTCTTTTGGAGTTGGAGGACATTCAAGAAGACACCGTGGGCCAGGGCAGCGAGAGCCCGGGGTGCCGGGCCTGGAGGTTCTGAGAGCCGCAGCTGGAGGGCCCCAGCCCCGGGCGCGCCCGGTCGGAAGACGGGAGCCGTCCAGCTGGGGTTCACAAGAACAGTCACTGGGGAGGTCACAACACGAAAACGCCGTGTGAGAGTTAAGCTGGCAGCAGGCGGCCTCGTGATCTGGGGTCCTTGTTTCTGAAACTCCTGCTATTCACACCCCCCCACAGCCCGTTCATGATTTTTGGCACCTGTCTGCTTACATTTTTGTCATCAGCACCCCCGCCTTGGTACTTTTGTTTCTTATTTTTTACTTAAATGCACTTACGTTGAAAGAAACCCTTATAACTCTACCAAAAAGGGCAGACCAGTATCCTTTGCCAAAAGGGGCAAAGAGCATCAAAACAACATCCAGCAGCTTATTAATTTATAGGGGAGGGCCAGAGGTCAGGCCCTGTCTGCCAAAAGTGCAGGTTGGTAAGAGCTCGAGAGGTTTACAGCCCAAATGACAACAACTTGAGACTTTCGCTGTCATTAATTGGTAGGTATAATTGACGCTGGGTCCTGGGACCCCGCCTGAAATCGTCACACTTCTGTCTTTATCTGTGTGAGTGTGCGTGTCCCTCCCACTGGGAACCGTTGCTCGGAGCGTTTTGTTCTAGGGAGATTTGGGTTTTGTTTTCATCAGATCCAATTCTGGCATCTGCCTTTTTTGGTCTCCTTGACCCTGCTAAGGTTTCAGGGTGCAGAGCAGCAGCTCCCCAAAGGTCATCCTCCCCGGAGAGTGTGGCCAAGTGGAGGGCAGGCCGTCAGGGGCAGGGCGGGGGCAACTGACTCCCTGATTCCTTGCAGGTAAACCGGGACTACTCCTTCCTGGACTACATCTTGGGAGGCTGCCAGCTCATGTTCACCGTAAGGCTCTCCCTGCCAGTGAGGATCCTCCCTGAGGGCTTGGGCCAAACTGTAGGCGAGGGGGCTGCGAGGGGGCTGGGTCAGGCGTAGGTGGGTGGGGCTTAGCTGCCCAGCCCACAGAGTTCTCAGCCACCTGCCTTCAGAAGGAAAAAGCCAACTTCCTCTGCGCTGGCCACAGGCCTTCCTTCCTCACCTGCTCCCCCTCCTTCTTGCTCACTCGGGTCCTTCCACGCAGGTCCTCACTGCTCCCGCGACATACCAAACTCTGCTCTGTCTTAAGCCTTTCCATTGGCTCTTCCTTCTGCCTAGAACACTCTTCCCCGGAACCTTCTGGCGGCTGCTGCCCTGCCCTCCTGCCGGCCGGGGCACAGAGGCCGCCTTGTCAGGGCGCTCTTTCCTGCTGCCTCCCGTTCCCCTCTGTCACCTCCCCTATTCCATATGTTCAGGGCACTAAAGGATGGAGGAGAGTTCCATAAGGAGACAGTTCCGTGAGGTCCTGTCTGCTCTTAGGTAGACAGGTCCTCATGCATAAAGGCCGGGAAATGGGAACAGATGAGTGTGTGAATGGGGACAGAGAACGGGGGAAGGAATTTGGGGCTGTAAGTTGGCTTTGTATCACATCTGGTTAACAGACTTTATGCTCAGGCCACAGGGAGCCCCAGATGGCATTGGAGCCAGAGGACTGATACAGTCCCTTCAGCCTCTCTGACCCCTGTGGGGGAAAGAGGGCGCCGGGGTCCCTGGTCACACTGGGTGGCCCTTCTCCCCCACTCTGCAGGTGGGGATAGACTTCACAGCCTCCAACGGGAATCCCCTCGACCCCTCCTCTCTGCACTATATCAACCCCATGGGCACCAACGAATACCTGTCGGCCATCTGGGCTGTGGGGCAGATCATTCAGGACTATGACAGGTAAGTGTAGGGAGGGACTCTGGGGTCAGCTCGGGCTATAACCAACTCAGTTGAGACATGGTGTCTGCTTCCGGGAGTTTCTACTGGAGGGGGGAGGAAATCACTGGAGTTTCAAGAGCCCAGTTCACATGTGAGGCAGGAGCTACGGCAGCAGCAAAGAGAGGGACCCTGGGGAATCAGGGGGACCCACAGAGAAAGGGGGCCATTTGAGTTGGGCCTTAGAGGGTTGAGTAGGAGTTTGGCTCAGGGAACAGATTGAGCGGTATTTCAAGAGGGGGTACATGGAATGGAAGTTGGAGTGTCAAGGTACCCTGTTTTGTTTGAGGACAGCAAGTGGCCAGTGGCCAGGGCTGGGGAATAAGGTAGGAGGGAGGGCAGATGGAAGGAGATGAGACAGTCCCAGGGCTGGATGATGAAGGGCCTTGAATGCCAACAGTTGAGGAGAATTTTTCCCTCCCGTGAAAGGAAGGCTGAGTCAGCTGGTACATTTCACCCCCATCATGACTGGCTTAGGGGCTGCATGAGGTCCCAGTGTGAGAAGGATCTAGAAGCTGCTCCCAGGCCCACTGGTTAGAAGCTCTGTGTCTGCCACAAGTGTAGATGGGTCAAGCCACACCAGATACCCAGGGGTGGGTTTGGGTTCAACAGGTCATTTGAACAGAGCTTTCCTAGAGGTGGTGAGCTTTTTCTTTCTGTCTTGGGGGTGTGCAAGACAGAGCGGGCAGCGCTGGGCAGGGAGCCTGGGAAGGGCGAGCGTGGGTGGGTGGAGTCCCCTGTCCAGTTGTCTCACAGGGTTTTTTTCCTCCTCTCTTATTAGTGATAAGATGTTCCCGGCTCTAGGGTTCGGGGCCCAGTTACCCCCAGACTGGAAGGTGAGTGAAGCGAGACTGGTGCCTCTTTGCAGGACGGGATTTGCGGGGGGTCTGTGTGTGTCTCCAGGATCTGCTTTGGAAAGGCCCGGGGCTGGGGCCCAGCTGCCCTGCCTTCTCTGAGCCTCCCCAAAACCCACACCCATTTCTCAACCTGAACCACGCGCCGGCACCGGAGCTTTAACACGGAGCAGCACAGGGATGCCCTCCAGCCCCTGACACCCAAGTCAGGTGTGAGGACAAGGAGGGTACCAGGTTTAGCAAATAAAAATACAAGATACCCACTGAATTCCAGATTAACAAGTTATTAAGTATGTCTTAAATATTGCCTGGGATGTAGTTATACTAAAAGAGACATTGTTTATCTGAAATTCAAATTTAACTGGGTATCTGCACTCGGTCTGGCAACTCTAAAGACAGGCAGGGTCATCAGTGCCGAGACGGGGCAGCAGCGGCCAGGGGAGTGCTCCGCCCCAGCCTGGGAATATCCGGGAAGGCTTCCTGGAGGAGGCATGGTCTAAGCCAAGAGGGGAGGGGAAGGTAGGATATGCAGAGCGACTGGGGGTGGCGATGGGGCAGGGAGCGTGATAGAGAGAACAGCCTGTGCAACGTCTGGGAGGCAGAGGAAGCAGGGCCAGTTGGAGAAACAGAAGGAAGGTGGGCACGATGGACTTCTGTGGAAGATGGGCAGGAGGAAAGATAAGCGGCTAGAGGGGTAGGGGGCAAGCCATGCAGGGCCTCAGACACACACTAAATAGCAGTGGCGGCAACTGCAGGGCCCACATGGAGTGTTAGAATCAGCTGGTATTTTTGAAGGCCCACCCTGGCTCCGAGTGGGAACTGGCTGGGGTCAGGGTTGGCAGGATGGAGGGATGGAGAGAAGGGACGATGCCCATTTTATAGGTGAAAGGACAGAGGTTCAAGTGACCTGCCCAAGGCCATGTTTACCACAGGGGCCTTGATTCCAACTGGGCAGAGGGGCTCTGAAGTTTGTTCTCAGAATCATCTGCCTCTCCGATGAGAAGCCCGGGAGAATGAGCACAGGGCCTCCTAGCCTTGCGTGTCTGTCTCAGCCAGTGTCCCCTCTTGTCTGCCTTGCGGTGCTGCATGCTGTTTCCAGAGTGAGCATTCCCCTCCCCACGGAGGATGATTCTTTACCTAGAACTTCAGAGTGGCTATGGGACCTGCTGGCCATCATGTGGTAGGGGCAGGGTCCTGCAGGGCCAAACGGTGCCACGGGGAGAGGGGGCAGGGAGGGCTGGTGCTGGCAGGCTCAGCAGGAGCCCGTTGCTAGGACACCAGCCAGCTTTCAAAGAACTCGGGTTCAGTGAGATGTTCTCTTGCGCAAAAGCCTCCTTGGAAATGTCATAGGGCAACTCTGGGGAGCCTGGGGCTTGGCCGGGGTGGAGTGCCCTGCGGTGCCTGGAGGGTGCTGGTACCACCAGGCTGGGAGGCGATAGATAACTCAGTCCCACCTCCCTCGCCAGGCCGGGCGGGCCCCTCCCAGCCCCTCCCAGCCCCTCCCAGCTCCTCCCTGCCTCTCCTAACGCACCTTGCTCCTGCCGCAGGAGCCTTCTTTCTTTCCATCCACCCCAGGGCCTTTGCACGTGGCCTTCCCCCAGCCCGTGGCTCCCTTTCACTCACTCCCCACACCGCTTCTCAGGGAGCGACCACCCCACCCCCACCCCCAGGCCTCACAGGGGGTCCTCCTCCCTGCCAAGCACCGTCCTCACAGAACTCTGGTCACTTCAGTGTGTGTGGCTTGGCTTGTTTATCAGCTCCCTCTGGGACTCAGTGCTCCGAGAGGCCACCTGGTGTCCCTTGCTCCTGGAGTGCACTTGGTGTGCATGTCTGTTGACAGTGAACTTGGGGCCCCGTGGCCTGAGCAGAGGTGTTGGTTCTCTCAGGGTGGGAAGCTGGAAGGAGCTAGAAGGACCCTGGGACCAGCTGCCTGCCCTCGGGGCCTCAGGTCCTGCCTGCCTGGGCTGTGGCTGAGGGATGCAGGAAGCGTGTCCCCGAGAAGATGGCGTGAGGGCGTGGCCTTCAAAATGAGCCAGTCAGATGAAGAGGGAGATCAGGCACAAGGAAGGTCTGGGGTGGAGAAGAACACAGTTTATGATTTTCTCCGCTTTACAGATGGGGAAACTGAGGCTCATGGGGGACAGTCCCTCTGAGGTCAGCTTCCTCGGAGCCCCCCTTTACCGCCCTGCCCCTGCCAGGGCCTCAGGGAGTGGTGTCTTAAGTAACTCACTGACCAGGGGCCAGGCAGGGCCAGGTGCGGTGAACGGGGACCACTGATTGTCACAGGCCGTGCAGGGAGTCCCAGGACAAAGACCTGTGGCCAGACGGTCCCCAGGGGCTTGGTGTGGCCTCTAAGAAGCTTGTTCTGTTTAGTGGCGTTTTTCAGGCAAACCAGGGCCACAAGCATGAGAGGGGGCTCTCCACAGGCAGTGTGGACACTTGTCCTCCAGCTCTGCTGTGGCTCGCCCTTATGACCTAGGCATCCCTTGGCCCTCCCTGGACCTCAGTGTTGCCACCTGTGAAATGGGGCTGCCAGAGTAGGTAACCCGAGAGGCCACGGGGTGGGGGTGGCCCCACCCACTGGACCCCAGGCCAGGCCCTCCCCGGGGACCGGAAAAGCAGTGAGGAATGAAGAGGTCGCCAGGCTGAGAAAGGGAAATGGTGATCTATCCCCCTCAGGAGGGGGCTTTTCCCCCTTGGTCTCTAGAATCTCCTAAAATCTGATTTTGCGGGAAATCGTTGGCCCACAGGAGGCCTGTTTCCCTGGCAACCATTTTCATCTCTCAGCCCCCTCCATATGAGCCCCCTCTACATCTCTACAGAGGCTCATCAAGTTGCCACGGCAACGAGGACCTCCGGCCCCTGCACCTGGAGCCCAGACTGGGGATGGGGTGAAGGAGGCCCCCGGGCAGGGGCAGGGCCCAAGAGGGGCATCAGGGGACTGGCTCCATGCCAGGCACTTAGGGCTGAAGGAACAAAGAACAGAACTGCCCATCCCCTAGAACAGAGATGGTGTCTTCTCCTCAGGCCACCTGCTACCCACTGGGCAGCACTAGGGTGAACTCCCCGAACCGAGTCCCTCCCCCGCCTGGCTCAGGAGGGCTCCCCACAGTTTGGGGTCCAACCCCGCCTCAAGGCATGAGGGACCTGTGTCCCTGCTGCGTGATCTTGGCACCTGGGTCCCCCTCGCTGGGCCTGTTTATTTGGGAGATGGGGAGGCTGGCCTTCCAGCACCTCGGCGTGGCGCCTCAGAGCTGAAGCGTCTGTCGGGGGTTGTCGGCGCCCAGACTGAAGCTCCCTTGGCCTGGAGCTCCTCACCCTCCTGATTTCCAACCCTTGGGGGCAGGGACACCTTCTGAGGGTAGTAGGCTCAGGCAGCACACGCTCAGGAGGCAGTCTGACCTCAGTTCTAGTCCCAGCTCTGCCCTTCAGTAAATGTGAGGCCATGGGAACATTCTAGTGTGTTCTGTGTCTCAGTTTCATCATCTAAAAAATGGGGTAATAACAGGCCTTTCCCCAGTGGGTGTTGTGAGGAGAGAGTGAGGGGGTGCGTGCCAAGCTCGAACAGGGGGTGTGGCCTGCAGCAGGGAAGGGGGCCGAGTGGGGAGTTTGGCTGTGGGAGGGGGTGGGGTGAGGGAGAGTGGGGAGGTGCCCCAGCTGAGCTCTGGCCTCTCCTGGGGCCCCGGGTTCTGTAGCCGCCCCAGCCCTACCTGCAGCCCTGAACGGGGCCTAGCTACGGGTCCCTGTGTGCTCCCGGATCGTCATGGGTCCAGTGGTGCCCAGGATTGTGCGGGTCAGCCTTCGATGAAGGGGACTCCAGTTACGGCCCCGCGCACAGTGAGAGCTGGTGACCAAGGGCCTCCCTGTCCCACTCAGGGACTCTCGCGGCGGGGCGAGCGCCGTGGGCAGCGGTGACCCTGCAGGGCAGATGGGGCCAGTGTGGAAGGGTCTCGGCAGGCTTCCCTGTGGGGGTCAGACCCAGCAGTGGCGGTAAAAGCAGATGTGGGGGTGTCAGTAGCCCTGACCCGGGCCGGGGTGGTGGTGGTGGGTAAAGAGCCCGGTGCCCCCAGAGGGAGCCTCGGCCTGGCAGGTGGGTGGCCTGGGAGCAGGTTGGGGCCAGGAGGCCGCCAGCCCAGCATGTTCTCTGCATTTCAGGTCTCCCATGAGTTTGCCATCAACTTCAACCCCACCAACCCCTTCTGCTCAGGTGAGTGTCAAGTGTGCCAGCACCTGCCCCGGGTTCGCGCGGGGCCAACTCCCAGGTCGGGGAAGGGCAGCGTACAGGCCTCTGTGCCTTTCTCCTGCCCCTGCTCCTCACGCTCTCTCAAGCTAGGGGACGAGTCGGAGGTCGGAGTCCAGCGGTCCTGCACTCAAGGCCTGCGGCCGCCCTTTCCCGGCTGTGTGACCTTGGAGAGAGCACTGCACCTCTCTGAGCCTTTGCCTTCTCACCTGCCCTAGGAGATGTGACCCCTGTTTAGCTCACATCACTGTGGTCAGGTGAGAATGTAGGGAAGTGTTCACAGAAAGCCCCGTGTAGACCAGGAGGAGGCCAGGTTGGGAAATGACACACCTGCCTCTCACTTCCTACCAGCCCTGTTGGGCAGGCCCCGCCCTGCCCCGCCCCGCCCCACCCCGCCCCGCCCCGCCCCCACCTTTAACTGGGAGCTGTGGCCTCCAAGGGCTGAGAGTTGCTTGGGGGGCGGAGGGGAGTGCAGAAGGGACAGGCAGTGAGTGTGGTCTCTGCTCACTCTCCTACCTCAAAAAGCCTTAGAGGATTTCTGAGCCCGCCCCCCTCCCGCCCCCCAGCCCCGAGTTGGTTAAGAAAGTATTGGAAGAGGAAAAGGGGCTCCAGGTGTGTGTGGAGGAGGGTGGTTCCTGCCATCATGGGACCTTTCAGCCGAAGATTTGGCTTGGTTGAGGTGCCCACCTTCCGTGGGGACCCCCAAAGCTGGGCCTGGTATGTACATGGAAGGGAAATGCATCAAGTTGCCAACCTGGGGATAATGTTGTGACTCAGAAGCCTCTGTTGACCAGAAATGTGACCCTGTACTCCTGCTGGGGTCTGGTTTGGAGCAGGTCTCCAGAGATGTTTTGTCCAAGTTCATGTTAGTCAGCCTCATTTCCGGCCAGAGGCCTTCTAGAGAGGACCACAGGGCAGGCAGGTGTTCTGAGGCTCAGAATGGCGGCTGTTACAGAGCACCTACTGTGTGCATGGGCTGTGCTAGCATCTCAGTCCCCCAATGAACCTGAGCAAAAGCCCTAGTGTGTCCAGAATGGATTCCGGGTGGCTTCCCGAGGCCCTGAAGCGTCATCACAGGCTTTTCCAAGCCTGCCAGACCCCTTCCTGCGCAAAAGTAGATTATCAGCCTCATGAACAGACAAGGCAACAGGCTCAGAAAGATTAAATGTGCCGTGGGTCCCACAGCTAAGAAGCCGAAAGGCAATATTCAAACTTGGGTCTGACTCCACATCCAGGGCTCTTTATACCGCGCTAGCTCTGCCTGTGGGAGCTTCTGGCAGGGGCATTTGGGGTGAGCCTGGAATGGCGCTTGGTGGCTGCGGGTGGGGGTCCAAGAGGACCAGGCTGATCTAGACTCTTGTCCCCGAGGCAGGCGTGGATGGCATCGCCCAGGCGTACTCGGCTTGCTTGCCCCACATCCGCTTCTACGGTCCCACCAATTTCTCTCCCATCATCAACCATGTGGCCCGGTTTGCGGCCCAGGCCACGCAGCAGCCAACAGCCACGGTGAGTAGGCGGCCACCAGCGTGGACAAGCAGGGTCGGGTGGCACTGGCCAGGCTCTCCCTGCCTGCCACAAGGGAGGGCCAGGCTGAGGCGCATCCTTCCCACCCCACCTATTGGTGGCTAGCTGGCTATTCTGCCTGCCTTTGTTCTAAAACCCTACATCCCTCTGTCTGCCTGCAGGTATGATTGGGGGGTGAGGGGTGGACTAAGCTCAGCTTGATTAGTCCTGGCCTGTTGGAGCATAGACCTGAGGGAGACTCAGCAGTTCCACTCATGTGTGGTAGGTGGTAGGAAACAGGGCTTCGATCAGTGGGAGGAGCCTCCCCACGGCAGAGGGGGCACGGGAACCAGGAGGTGTGGTTCCCTGCAGCTCTAGAGCTGACCCTCTGAGCCCCCTCGTTCCCACAGAGCAGCCCCTGCCACCCGCTGGGGGCTGGGGGCAGCGGGACTGTCTGTCCCTGGCCGGGTGTGCAGTGACGCGGCCGTGGTGCGAGCCTGCCCTGGCCTGAGGCTGCCAGGGCTGCTGCGTGCATCTGGAATACTCGGCAGACAGCCACGTCCTGGGCATCTGCAGCTCTGGTCCTCTCCTGCCCTCCAGCCCCAGGCCCGATGCTCGTGTTGGGGGTCACTGAGGGGCCACTGTGGCCACCTGCCCCACCACCCACCAGCACGTGCCTCGACTCTGCAGTATGAGCTTGGGGGTCTTCGCTGCCTGCCCCAGGGCAGTGCATCGAGAAGCGCTTCCTAGCACTTCCTGGGCAGGAGCCCCGTGGGGGTGGGCCCTGCACGGAGGCTGGGGTCCGATTCCCACCAGACCGGACCCCGCCACAAGCCCTTGCCCCTCGCGGGGCTTCCTCCTCCTCTGGAAGGAAGGGGTCACTGCGTGAGCCCCGGAGCCCCTCCGAGACTCTCCTTTCACTCCTCCTCCAGAACACCCCCCTCCGAATTCACCTGCTCCCCCGTTGCCACGGCCACCATCGCCCCCCTGCACGCCACAGCCCTCCTTGCCACTCTTGCCCTACTCCCCACTCTGCCTCAGAGCCCTTTCAGTCGCACCCCCTGGCACCCCCCACCCCGAGGCCCCCTTCTGTCCCCCACGCGCTCCGAGCTTGCTCCCTGCACAGGGCCCCTGCCCTGCCATCTCCTCCGACTGGAGGTTCTTCCCTGACCCACCTGGATGGCTCTGTCCCATCTCTGTGTCCCCTCCAATGCCCCCCTCCCCGGCCCCCGGCAGTGGCCTTCCTGGGGCCCACCTCCTGTCTCCTGCCTTCTCTGTGCACTCCCATCCAGACTGACAATGGCGGCAACGGCTCCTTCACACACTCGGCGTCTCCGCATCTGCTGTGTGCCTCCCCGTTGGACTCTTGGCCCCACACGGGGGGCTGTGTCTGCGTGGTCACTGTCTTTCACGACCTGCCCGTGGCAGGCATTCGTCGTGCCCTAGAACGGATGGGTTTGGCTCGGTCCCCACTGTGAGCTGTGCGTTGTACAGGCAGGTGGGAGGAGGTGACTCAGCTGGGGCCTCTCCCAAAGGGAAAGGGACCTGGTCCCATTGGGACGGCCCAGAGGAGGCAGGCACCTCTTTTGAGTCACTAGAGAGGTAGACGTCGGTGGGTGGCAGGTGGCAGCAAAGATAGGAGGGCAGAGATTATGAGAGAGGACACCAGGGCCGGCCTGGGGAGGGCAGGACAGCAGGGCACAGTCTGGTCATTGGGAGGCAGCAGAGGGTCTGTGGGGAAGGGGACCCTGGTGTCCGGCTGCCAGTTTGAATCCTGCCCTTACCCCTTCCTCGCTGTGTGACGTAGGGAAGTCACTTAACCTCTGAGCCTCCGTTTCGTCACGTGGACAGCCAGAACGCTAACAGGACCTACTTCAAGGGGGCAGTATTGAGAAAGGACAGGGGGCAGCAAGTTCCCGGAAGGGGCCCACCCAGCAGAGGCCGAGGCGGGCAGGAGGGAGGTCAGCGCCTGAGGAAAGGCGGTCCTGGTCTTTCCTGCTGCTGGGGGACATGATCTGCTCTGATCCCTGCCCTGTGGTGGCAGCTGAGGGCCTGCAACAGGCCCTTCCCAGCTCCGAGCCTGTTTCCTAAATTATGAAAAGGGAGCAGTGAAGCCACCCAGCACTGTGAGCATGTGGGGCAGCCTGAACGAGACACTGAGAAAGGCCTGGGAGTGGCGTTTTATAAAATTCCTGGGGGGTTGGCCGAATTGTTAGGGTGCTGGCAGCCAGCCAGGCCACTGTCCCTCCCGGTCTGTTATCACCCGAGCCAGCTTTCAAAGCCATGGAAAAAAGACCTGCATTCTTTGGGGAAAAATCATGAGGCAGGAGCAGGAATGAAGCCAGTGTCCCTCCCGGGCCCTTTGGCCTGCTGAGACCCGGCAGGACAGCGCAGCAGATGGAGTCCTGGGGAGATGTGGGCCCCTGCCTGCTGGACCCTCGGTCCGCAGGGGCCCTGGGCGCGGCCGGGAAGGTGTCTTTGTGGCCTGGGGAACTGCTACGCGTCCCCAGAGGGAGGAGCGTGGACCTTCTCTGAGCAAGTCCAAACTCTGACCAGTCCTGATCCTCTCAACACCCCAGGCACGTTTTCGCGACATGGTCCTCCCAACCTGGGGAGACAGCTCGGGCCATCTCCCAGCATCTCTGGGCTGCAGGAGTGGGGCCAGGGAGTCTCTGTTGTCTCCCCCTTACACGATGCCCAAGAACAGACACCGACAGGTCTCCACCTCCTGCCTGTACTCCATCCCACGTCTCACCTTGCACCGAATGTGGAGGAGGAGGGCTGTCTGATGGTTCAGCCCCAAGCTCTGGACCCCGTAAACCTGGGTCAGACCCCAGCTCCCCTACTTCATGGCTGTGAGACCCACAGCAGGTGGCTTACACTCTCTGAACCGGTTTCCTCGCGTGAGCAGTGCAGACGATGGAACACTAGCCTAACAGAAGCATGGCGAGGACTCAACCACATTAGCATGTCAGTTGCTCAGCACAGTGCCTGACACACAGTAAGGCGTGGGCAGCTGCACCTCCTGGCGACCCCTCTGGGGCCAGCACTTGGTGATGCTTACATTGAGGCGCAAGGCAAAAGGTAATAATCGGTGGATTAGCTGATGCTTTTATACAGCCGCTTTTCGGAGAACACTTGGCGTGGCCTCACCCTCCTTGTCCCCAGACATATGCACACACACGCACGCCCACGAACAGGAAATAGAGAACAGGTGGTAAGGAAGCATCTCTCAAGGCAGGGCTGTACTCTCCATTCATTCATGCAACACCTCTTTGCTGAGGATGTACCTGTGCGGCCCTGGGTGCCGGGGGACCGATGCGCGGGATGAGGCCCCCGCCCTCCCAGAGCCTGCAATGCGGGGGTGGGGGGAGGCGGTGGGCGGGCAGTCCAGTGGCGCAGGGCGATTGAACCTGTGGTGCCAGGAGGGCAGAGTCATAACCCCGGACGAGGGCTCAGGGAGGGCTTCTTGGAAAAATGATGTTCAAGCTGCGACTGGGAGGACACTGAGAGTCCGGCGAAGGTTGGGCGCGTGCGCGTGCATGTGTGAACGTGCGCGCGTGCGTGGGTCGTCCCAGACCGAGGGAACAGCCTCTGCGGAGACGCGGAGGCTTGGCGTGTGGGCCTCCGCGGAGGAAGGAGTGTGGTGGGAGAGGGCTGGGCTGGGGGCAGGCGAGGTGGGAAGGCGAGCCGGCTCCCGCAGGGCCGTGGGAGCCAGTGAGGAATCTGGATTTTCTGAGGGCGGGCACGGAAGGGTGTTTAGAGGTTCCGGCGGGCCGGGGGAATTCCTATCATGGGGCCTTCACTTTTCCCTCTGCTCTGGCCCACAGAACTCAGGCCTTTAGCCACGGCCAACTCCTAGGTGTCTGGCCTTCCAGTGGAAGGGACGCTGGGAGCAGCCGGGACTCTGGGAAGCCGCCCGCTTCCATTCCTGCCTCAGGGCTCCAGCCACTGACTCCTCCGAAGTGAGCCAGGGAGTGAGTGTGGCTTCCCCAGGCTCTGCCTGGAACTGTTTTGGTCAAGTCAGTTTCTTAGAAATCAAATCACGTTAAATGGATTAGTGGCTATTTAGAGTCTCAGCTGAAGAATCTCTTTTCAAGGCAAAAGGTGCAAGGTCATCCTTGAAATGTGTAGGGAGTGTGGGTTGGGGGTTTGACCCGACAGTGACGGGCTACATTTCTGGAGCACAGACTGGGTGCCAGGCCTGGGAGATGGAGGAGGGGGTACAAGGGGCTGCGCTGCGGAGCACTCAGGGTGGGGGTGGGGTGCAGGGAGAGGAGTGTCCCGAGGGGGAGCGCTCCCCGCGGGCGGTGCGGGCAGTGGGAACAGAGCTCAGGACTGGGGAGAGCCCTCACGTCAGCTTGGGATGGATGGGCGCGAGGCGCTCAGGTGGGCCTCGGAGCCGTGGCCGGGCAGGGGATGCCGGGCAGAAGGCAGCCCGGAAAGGCCCCGTGGAGGCGGGAGGTCTTGGGGCGGAGTGCACCTTCCCACCGCCTCCTGCCCGACTCCGCCCTTCGTCCTCCTCCTCCACAGCTCCCTCCCAGGTCCCTTCTGAGCTGTCTTGGGGGTGGAGCTGTGGACCCCTGGGGTTGCAGTGAGGCTCCCAGAAAATGTCGGCTCTGCGCCACGATGGGCAAGGAGCCCAGGACTTGTCAGCGGCACTTCCATTGCCAAGGCCGATGACCCCAAGCTGAGGCCAAACGCAGGAGCATGGGCATTGTGGCCAGCTGGTTGGCACACAGGAGCAAGGGTTCGAGTCCTGTGCTGTGGCTCTGGGCCTTGTCCTGAGCTGCTATCCTGGACATTCTGGCCTCCTGACACTGGGGAGCTGGGTGAGAGGGCGCAGGCCCCACTACTGCAGAGACGGCTCAGCCAAGGAGGACTTCGTGGAGAAAGCCCAGATTTTGGAGTCAGCTAGGCTTGGTCTAGAGTCAGGACTGCGTTGTTCCAGCTGGGAGCCCATCTCATTCCTAAAAGAACCACAGGGTGAGGGTGACAGGGAGGACCTGTGCAGTCACTGTGTGTTAACAGGGACTTCTTCACCCTGTTAGTCGGTGCCCACAGGCCTGCAACAACCCAGGCTCTGCCTGTACCCACCACCCTGCGCAAGAAGGCCCCAGGGCTCTGAGGGAGGCCCGGGCCTGCACACTGCGGCGCACACGTGTGGACGATGGGATGGGGAGAGTCAGGAGGGGCTTGGAGGCCAGTCCTACCCATTGTTTTCCTTCCCCATTGCCAGGCCTCTCCGTGCCTTCCTTCCTGCCCGCTTGGGTGCCCTGGAATATTTCTGCTGGGATGGAAGCACCCCACGTACGGAAGGGGTGCTAGCATGATGGTGGGCTACGTGGGGACAAGAGCCTTAAGATCCACCCCCCTAGGGATGGGGGGCTGGCAGCAGCAGCCCTCCACTGCAGGGATTCATGCTGCCATCTCCATAGCAACAGGTATCCCCAGCCAAGGGATTGATCTCTTAAAGGCACAGTGCAGGAGCCAGCCTGCTGCTGCCAGGAGCAGGGTTAGGATCATGGGGTCCATGCCTCCACATGACTCACCCCCTCCTTCCTTCCTCAGTTAGCGCTTGGGGGACAGGCAGGCAAGCAGGGCATCCCAGGGGGCTGGATTTGTGTCCTCCGTGCGTTCCTCGGGGAGCAAGCGGGTAAGAAGGTAGCCCAGTGCCGACATAGAGGCTAACTTGGGCCTGCCCTCCACGACCTGGACTGGGCTGGGCCCCCATTTCCTCCCCTGAAAATCAGAGGGGTCGGTGTGGAAGGCCAAAGCTCTGCAAAGAGAATATTAGTGCCACAAGAGCCTTTCTGTTTATGGATGGGGAGAACTGAGCTCCCCCAGAAGGGCCCAGAGGGCGCTAAGGACAGAGCTGAGGTGAAAACAAGGTCTCGGCCAGCTCGGAGCGGCGGGGCCTCCGTGCACAGGTCACCCAGGGAGCTTTCCTGGCTCCCCTCACCCCCGCCTTCCAACGGCATACTATAGCCACCTCGTTACCCACACTGGTTTGTTTTTTTTTTTTTACTTAAATAACTTTATAAAGAAACTTTATAACCCACTGTAAGTGAAATCATTATCCCTTGCCGTGGAGAGTAACAGGAAAAATCAATATATAACTGCACAATGGTAGTCAAGTCTAGAGGGTTGTCCCTGAAGCGCTGAGAAGCGTCCTGCCTTCTCATTGCTAACAAGGTCAGCAAACAGCACAAAGCGAGACTGCCGCCTAGGTACAGTGTGTAGAATAGAGACCCCTGCAAAACTACCCCTTCCCACTGGGACTCGATGCTGCGTCGTCTGGCGTGTGACCCCGTGTCTGCCTCCCAGAGCCCCAGTCCCACAGGCGCCGGCCTAGATGACCTGCTTAGCTCCTGCGAGGTGTCTCCGTGCGGCTGTGCTCAGGGAGTGAGCTGGGCACAGGTATTCCGTGCAGGTGGACAGAGGGCAGGCTGCTCCGCAGGGTCTGTTGGCCAGAGTGGTCTTCTTCCCGGGCCGCCGGCCGGCCTGCCCGGAATGTAACTATTGATTAGCGAACGAGCCGCTGCCACGGGGCAGGCACGCTCTCTTTGAGGTACTTGGGGGCCACGCCACTGCCACTTTGAAGATGATGGCACTGAGGCACAGAGAGTAACTCAGACCCACTATGTAGTGACCAGCAGAGTTGGGTCTTAAGTCCTAGGCCCCCACTGGGCGCTCGGAGATGACATGCAGGGCAGGAGGACCGGGGCAGCTTATGCTCTGGCTGAGGCAGGGTAACAGTTTAAACAGACAAGAGGCCCCAGCTCCTGGGTCCCGTGGGGGGTGGCCGGGATTAGGCTATAGCTGGGGAAGGAGTCACCTTCCTCCCGGGGGTCAGAGGGCTTAAGGAGTTGGAATAGGAAGGACGGGGGCGGGGGGCCAGGGGACTCAGGGCCCTGCTGAGTGCCCGCTGACCTCCTCCCTGCAGCAGTACTTCATCCTCCTCATCATCACGGACGGGGTCATCAGTGACATGGAGGAGACACGGCACGCCGTGGTGCAGGCTTCCAAGCTGCCCATGTCCATCATCATCGTGGGTGTGGGCAACGCCGACTTTGCTGCCATGGAGTTCCTGGACGGCGACAGCCGCATCCTGCGCTCCCACACTGGGGAGGAAGCGGCCCGAGACATCGTGCAGTTCGTGCCCTTTCGAGAGTTCCGCAACGTGAGTGTGGCCCAGGCTGGGGAGGTGGCGTTACAGGATCCCAAGGGCCGTAATAACCGAGGATGAAGGTCTTGGGATTGTCCACCCAGGCCTAGGCTCCTCCACCCTCAGCTCCACTGACTGCACACTTCCTAAGGGCCCACTATGCGCCTGATGCCCTGCCAGGCCTGCCCCCAGATGAGACCACGTAACAGTGCAAGCACTTGCTTCAGTGAGTGCTGTGATGGGACACAGCAGCAGCACCCAGTCCAGGTGGAGGCTTAGGCAGGGGCTCCCCGAGGACCTGCCCTCTAACTGACCAGCGGTCAGGCAGCTGCCAGGCAAAGATTTTCAGAGGACAGAGGGGTAAGCAGAGGCCCAAAGGTGAGGCAGGCCTTCCTCATAACCACATCTCACCCAGCCTCACAGAGGGAAAACCAGGGTGATCTTAGGATGGCCTCCTATCTGCAGAGGACCCCAAGTCTGCCCAAAGGAGGCTGTGGCTGGCTTCCTGGCGGCTGGCCCCACAGAGTCCCAGAGCGGGCAGAGCCTCTCAGACGCCAGCCCTGTACTGCCAGCCTGCGGCCTTTGCTTTGAACAGAGGCACACTGCATGGCCTTGGACCAGTCCTTGACCTCTTTGGGCCCCAGTTCTCTCAGGCACACGGGCCCCTCTGGGCACTCAGCTCAGCAGGTCCCAGCAAGGACTGAGCACCATTTCATTCCCAGTGGCCCTCACACCTCTGCCCAGCCCCCTCTGGGTTTGCCTGAGATGGCTCAGCCCCTCCTCTGGAGTGCTGGCTGAGCACAGAGGCCCGGCATGGACCACCATTCACTCCCGCGATGCTGACCAAGCACGTCCCCATGCCGAGCCTGTGCTGGTCATGGCTCGTTTACACCAGCCAAGAAGGTGCTCGGGAAACGTTTGCCAGATGAGTAGGCTGTGCAATGCGCCTTGCAATGGCTCTCACCCTGAAAAGCCCCCCACAGACAAATTCTTCCTAAAATGGTACCCTCAGGCATCGCAAGTGCTCACGGTAAGAGTTACACTTCACCTACAGAAAGGTACTGCTACCAATGGCAGGTTTGCGGACGCGGACAGGGACAGGGAATGTCAGCTTCTGACAGCCTTGGCCCGCAGCCGATGCTGTCCTCCAGGGACCCCTCCCAGAGCAGCTCTCCGGGACTGGCGCCCCCACAGCTGCTGCTCGGCAACCCTAATTCTCTCCTCTCTAACCCCCACCCTCCACCCTGCAGGCAGCAAAAGAGACATTGGCCAAAGCTGTGCTGGCGGAGCTGCCCCAACAAGTTGTGCAGTATTTCAAGCATAAAAACCTGCCCCCCACCCACTCGGACCCCGCCTGAGCGCCAGCCCGCGCAGCAGCAGCATGCCGCCCGGGCCCCTCCCCCAGGAACGTGCACGCTCACCCTGCTTCCTTATGGGTGGCCATTTTTTTTTTTTTTTTAATGATCCACGTTTATTTTTTACAATCGGACCTCCACCCCCACGTTCCCCCCAGCCCAGCTGGGCTTCCTTTGTTGGAATCGACTAATGATGCTTCCAGGCCAGACTGGCTTCCTCTCTTCCTGTCCCTGCCATTCTTAATTATTGAATGTACTTTGTATAATTTTCGTGGAATAATTATTGTTATTACAGAGAATAAAATTTTTACAATCGTAACTAGCTGCCGACTCTGAGAGGAACGTGTCTGTGGTGCGCTCTGTCGTGGCCCACACCTGATTCCTGCTGTTTGCAATGCTGTGACCGTGTTCTATTTGTTACACTCAGGGTAATAAAGGAGTCTCGGACGTCCCTGTGTCAGCTCCTTCCTCAGCCGAGACCCGAGGGGCTCGGGATCTGGGACAGGAACCCAAAAACCCCTCCCCCAAGCAGGCCTGTGAGGGCGGGGCCATCACCTGCGGGCCTGCATCCCACAGCAGCAGCTGCCCTCCTCACACTGGCACGGAGCCGGGCCCAGGGAACACACGTGCCCAGGAAGCCCTGTGAACGAGCAGAATGCACGGGCCCCCGCCAGCGGCTGTAGGTTTCCTGGCCCCTACAGAGCCCACGTCAGGTGCTTCCGCAGTCCCCACACATTGGCCCAGCCAATACCACGTGGTCACCACCCCTTCTTGCTCTTGGTCCACACTCTGACCCATGTGCTCCAACGCTCCTTACACACACACCCATCTGCTGCCCATCCAGGTCTCCCAGACATGGGGTCTGCCCCGTGGTCTGCAGTGTGTGCAGGCTCTCTGGCCTCAGGATGCTAAGGCTGCTCCTGTCCTGCTGACAGCAGCCGCTGCTTTCTCCGTCGGGCCTCTCTGGGCTCAGGCCCCACTCCACGAACCCAGCCAGGAGGCCAGTTTCTGGCCCCCTAGCCGTCCTTCAGTTCCCTCCCTCTTCTGCACGACACATCTTTCTCTCCTATCCCCTCCCCCAGGAGCTCCAGGCAGCCGCTTCGCCACAGGCTTTGGTATAACCAGTAACAGCTGACACTTGTATTAAGCTGTTTCCCGCTCCGTGTTTAAGTGCTTTACAGGTGTAATCTCGGCGAGCCCTTCCAACAGCCCCTCTACGACCACTGTGGAGATAGGGAAACAAGCGGAGAAGCCCATCCATCCTATCAGGCTCCAGAGCCCACACGGGCTCCGCTGCATTGAATGTCCTCCCTGAACCCTATAAGGAAGGGTCTTCTGCTCAAGCCGGTGAGTTTGTCCTTCCTCTCTACTGAACCTGGGAAGTCACTCACCTTGACCTACTCTCCCCGGTAATTACTAGTAGTGGCCTTCTTTATACCTGGGAGATGCACCGGGCAGATTCCCACCTACGGGAGCCTGGTAACACCCGCAGCCAAGTGTTTATCTGGTGGAGATGAGTGAGGGGTTATCTTCATCTTTTCTTTTCATCCTAAGCTTTCGATGTGTCTGCTGATTCTGTAGGAACCAAAAGCCAGCTGCAATACCCTTCAGGGACACCTCCCCAGCTCCCGAGAGGGTTACAGGACTGCCCAGAGCCTCCTTTCCCAAGAACCCCTGGGAACTCACACGACAGTCTCCTTTTTGTTTTTCTGGAGGGGCTTTAGGTGACAGCTGAGCCATATGCCCACAGCTAGGACATCCGAGCCAAAGAACCGTGTGTGCCTGAGCAATTAACATTTAGCTGGGAGGGAAGCACACAGGACAAGCTGGTGGTTGGTGCTGTGACGGCCGGAGCTGACCCCCCCATCCTGTCGGTGTTCTAGCTGCAACCGAGTCGGTGGGACGGACAGACCTGCTGCACATCACGCTAACGGGAGCTCCGGCCACCCCACGCAGACACGGGGGAGGCCACTGCTGACAGTACTGACGAGGGCGGCGACTACTCCCTGAGCGCAGTGGGCCAGACACCACAGCAAAGGGCTGGCCTAGGTTATCATTCACCCTCGCAAGGAAGTTGGTGTTGTTATTCCTACTGACTGAGGAGGAAACAGGCCCACAGTGGGTAAGGACCTTGCTCAAGTGCCCCAGCAAGTACACATCTGGCTCCAATCTCACAGCCGTTACGGTATACCCACAGGAGACGGAACCACGCCAATTCCCAGGGAGAAGCAGAGGAAAACATCTTAGGCACATCAAGCTTTTCTTGGGTGGAACGGAGGCAGCCAGAAGGGGAGAACGTATGAGGTGGACAGTGAAAAAAATGCAAGGGACAAGCCTGAGTCACTCCTAGTTCGGAGCTTGACTTTCAGTCTAGAATGTTCCTGAAAAAGGCTCAGGTGCCCTCCCCACGCCCCTGAATTTGAAGAGCCAGCTGTGTCTCCTCCCGGGGGCTGGGGCAGCGCCCCTGAACAGGGCACCAGCCACCTCGGTAGGCCCGTCACGCCAGCATCGTTACAGATGGAAACTGATGCTTGGAATTCCATGCTCCCCTTCTCCCCACCTAGGTGGGCGCCAGCGCCGAGCACCGGTGGCTAGCGGGACGTGGTCGAGAGCACAAGGTGTGACACACACTAGGTAATCCAAATAGAGCTGGCGACAGGGTCCTCAGAGACGAGCTTCTGCCTCGCGCAGTGAGAGTATTACTACTCACGGCAATGTAAATGAGTTTAAAGTAACCCACCCCAAACTTTGTTTTTATCCCTTCTTCTCTACTTATAAAACCCCAGTCGTCTAGTAAGGCAAGAGTGCTGTACTTTATGGTTTAAAGCAGTGTTTCCTCCCCGCCCTGTTTTCTGTTCTTCGGGTTTGAACTGCGCGCTCTACCCTGGGTGCTTTCTGAGGCTGCCTCCTGTGGGGCAGACCGGGTCCTGCTTCGCTCTCACCGGTTTCTACAGAACCGGTTTCAGTTCCAGCGGTCCACCCGTGATCCTTGACTTCATCTGAGATACATGAGCAGAAATCTCGGTGTGAAGGGCCTCAGCCTTCGACCCACTTGAGCTGTTCCAGTAGATGGGAAGGGGGCTGGGAGCACAGACTCAGCACAGGAAAAGCAAGGTCTTGTTATGAGCCTTCAAATTAAGCATGTTTTAAATTCCTGCAACCCTTTGTCAACTTCTCCCAACATCAACAGAGGCTGTGGGGTGGAGAAAGGGCCTCGTAAAAAGTCAAACCACACCAACAGGGCGACTTTGATTCCACTCTGCCTCCTAAAATGATCCGAGGTTTGATCTGGGGACGTTCCGCAATGCTGACAGCACAATCGCAGGAACAATGAGGCAGAGAGGCAGAGGGTGCCTACACAGTTTCACCCAAACGTCTCGTCTGTTAGAATGGAGCCGACGCGCCTGTCCTGACAGTCAGGAGCAATTAGCACAGAGTAGTTCTGAAAAGGAGGAAGATGCGCAAGGCATCCGTTACGGGTGAAGGGGAGTCACCATCTGCCAGCGGCCACCAGAACGGCGCTGCACTGGAGGGGAAAGGAGAGGGCTGGACGAGATCCAGGGGCCTCTCTGCCCCTGAAGCTTCTCTGCCTGCCAGCATCACGGCGTCAACATGCCCTGGTGTCTCTCTCTCCATCTCACACGCAGGGAGGTGGAAACAACTGACGCAGGAACCCAAGGGAAGAAGAACTGCACAGGCCTGTTCCCCTGGAGGGTGGGGGGGAGAGGCGGCGGCGATAGCCCTTTTTCAAGCCCATGGCAACCTCTGTCCCCGAGGCCTCCATACCTGCTCCTTCCGTCCTTTCCTCCTGCTCAGACGTGGAGGTGGGGCAGCACCTCCAGGTCTTGGCTGCTCACAGCCTTGGAGCTGCTCTGTCTGGGAAGAGAAAAGAGTGGGGCGGGGGGGGCAGCAGAAAAGAGGAGGAAAGGACTAGGGCAGTACCTTCAGGCTAAAAATAGCTTCATAGTTGGAAGCCACAACAATAAAGGTGTCAACCAGAGAGGAACCTCGACAGGGTACAGAGTACAGTCAGAACATGCAGGTGCGTCCCACTGATCTTCAGTACCAGGAACCCAGGAGCTGCCAAAAATAAGTCGCCTCATCCACATACCTAGTAGCGCCTCTGATTTCTGGCTATGCTGAAATGAGGCCCGTGTCTGCTTCTCTAAGGTTTAGAGTCTTAAATGGGATTAGGTAAAGGGAGGAGGACTAAGTTTTCCAAAAGTAAGGAAACACTTCACGCTGAATGATGAGTGTTAACTGACACCTCTGCGGACGTGGTTTTTAATCTTAGTCACACAACATCGAGAGTCGGTTAGTTCCAGGGGACTGCACCAGGTCGTCACCAGGGCGGCTCCGCCACGCGCTGCCACAAGGCGGTACAACCAAACAGCGCGTCCGTCTAGAATAAGATGTTTAAAATGACGCCTGCCCAAAAATGGCCCTTGCCTCCCTGTGCTGTTGGAAAAGAAAAAAAACAAAAACAAAAACAAAACCCCCAGAACCCCAAGAAAACCACCTAACCCAAACCCCGTGCAGGCCCGCTGTCCTGCCTTCCCAGGGCACTTCCAGGGGAGTTCCTGCTGGGCCCCAGCACCCCCCACCATGTCAGTGAGGAAAAAGGCGGTGAGACAGGTGTGGGCGTCTGCACAGGAGTGGAAGGAGAGACCAAACACAAGTCGTGCCACAGGTGAATCCCGGCACATTTTTAGAGAGGTTAAAACTGTCACGGTGTGCACAGGGAGCCGACCAAAAGTTCTCTGAGGGAGGTAATGCCTGGAGGCAGAGGCACCATCCAGTCCCCTCCTGGGGAGGAGCTCCTTGTGACAAGGACACAGCGGCTAGGGGGCCTCGAGGAAGGTGTTGGTTCGGAAGATGGAGGAGACGATCTTGCCAGTGGCGTTGATAGTGCCTTCGCTGTCCGAGCTGGACTCAGAGTCGCTGCTCCCGGAGTAGGCGCCCAAGCCCGGGAGGATGCCGATACACACCGCGGCGGAGGGGCAGTGGATGGCGGGGCTGCTCAGGGACGTGCTGCCCAGAGACACGCAGGACGAGGCCTCTGCAAAGAAGGAGGGAGGACTTTATCTTCATCACGCTCTCCCAGAGTGGGTGGTCTGCTTGCCAGCGGCCAGGCCCTGCGCTGAGGGCTTCCCCCGGGGGGCTCAGGCCAACCTGTGCAGGCAGCAGTCCTGCATCCCCCACCTCGGAGCCGTGTTTCTCTTTTACAATTGAGGAAACGGAAAACAGTCAGGGACCATTTTAAGATCATGCGGAATGTCACCAAGTAGGCTGAGGCTCTTTTGCCCCAGGACACTCCCAATTACGCTGCCACTTTCGTGACAGCCTTAATCTAGAAAACGCAGGACTTAAAGGTTAAAGGAAAGTTAAGAACTCTACTCCATTCCTCCCTTCTAAATGTTTCCAGCCTCACTTAACCACTGCAACCTGGCATGCATGTATTATCCCTCCTTTTATTGATGCGGGAGGTCAAATGACTTGCTAAGGTTAGAGGCCACTTAGAGCAGAAAATGTTAAACTAATCTGAATAAAAAAATAACGTGCTAAAATGATTCCTGAGCTCTCACTGCAGGGTAAGAGCTGGAGTTCAAACTTCAGGCTGACAAGCATATTACCTTCTAGGGTTTTGTCCTAACAAACCCCTAACTAACAGTGCGTGTAAACATGAACAGTAGACACGGTTCCAAGCGCAGAAAATCAGGAGTAAGCAAGAAATACACCGAGGAGCTAAAAGAGATCTCAACTGGCCAGACACAGAGTTCAGGAGCTCGGTATACTTGCTTGCCTTACTGTAAGTTCTAATAAGGGGAGAAAAAAGCTGTTAATATAGGTAATGTTGTCCTGGCCAGTGTGGCTCAGTTGGCTCGAGCGTCATCCCAGAGACTGAAAGACTGCAGGTTCAATTCCCCAGTCAGGGCACATTCCTAGGTTGCAGGTTTGGTTCCCGTGTACAAGACACAACCGATTGATGTTTCTCTCTTACATCTATTCTCCCCCCCGTCCCACTCCCTGCCTCCTTCTCCCTCTCTAAAATAATTAAGCATGTCCACAGGCAACGATTAAAAAAAAAAAAAGATAAGCAATGTTAAAACCTGGAGATGCAGAAAAGTGAAATGAGAGCTGACCATGACTGCTGAGATGGTGATAAAAAGGCCACAAGGAAGTAAAGGCCAATACTATACTTGAAACAACTATCACAAAAGCTAATTTCTGTAAGATATAAAGAGTTCTTCCAAAATCAACCAACCAACTGAACAGAAAAGTGGACAGAGACATGAAGAGTCACAGAAAAAGAAACAGATGGACTTTAAACACAGGAGAATAACCAGCCCTTAAAGAGGGAAGCGATGGGGAGCAGGCATCTTTATCCGCTGCGGGCAGGGCAGAGGGCAACTCAGCAACGTCCTTCAGACTTAAATGGTGTTCACATGAGAACATTCAGTGCAGCACTGCTGACGGCAGCTAAAGACCACAGACAATGGAAATACGCATCAATAGGGGAGCAGTTAGGTAACAACTGCCATTCAGCCACTAAGAAGAGTAAAGCATCTGTGTTTAGTGGTAATGAATGGTCTACAAGATACCATGCTAAATGAAAGTGGTGGAGGTTGATGATATAAATAACACTTTGGTGCAGGGGTAGGGGGGAGAGGGAACATGCCCAGGTATATGCATGGCAACATCCGGAAAAAATACATTCCCTTTAGAATTTCTATTATGTACATATGAGGAGGGACCCAAACAATGGAATTTATTTTATAAAAATTGTTTATTCTTACACATTTAAACTTCAAGCCCCTTCAAAGTACTCCCCATTTAAAACAATACACCTACAGAGATGTTTTTTCCACTGCCTAGGACAAACAGGCATTGACTTTGATGTCTTTTAGTGCTTTGGCAGTTTTTCTGTTTCACCTCTTCCACCTGGGCAAAATGTTTCCCTTTGGGGACTTTTTTCATCCAGGAAAACAACAACAAAAAAAATTGCTCAGAACAAGATCAGGTGAATAAGGGGGGCAGGTCATAAGGGTCATGCTGTTCTTGGTCAAAAACTGCTGAACACTTCAGCGTGGCACGGGCAGGTGCGCTCATAAATCACCCATCGTGAAGTAGGCAAATGCATTCAGAGAGTCTTAAAAAAATTCACTGAAGCCAAGCACAGCCTCTCACGACAACGCCAGCTTGTACACTGACACGGATGGGCTCCTAGAACACTCACCTAGCAGGGGGGCCTGTAGTACAAGGGGCCCGCCCTCCAGAAGATAATTTCAGGGTCTTTTTTTGAATGCCCTTCATATAGTGCCTATTTGGACATTTTTTTTTTTTTCCTTAAAGGCAAATACAAAAATCCAAAGATCCTGGGCCACTTAAATTAGGGAGGAACAGCCCTGATTGGTGTAGTTCAGTGGGTTGGGCACCGTCCTGCAAAGCCAAAGGTCGCCTGTATGATCTCTGGTCAGGGCATGTGCCTGGGTTGCAGGCCAGTCCTGGGCATGGGTGGTTGTCTCACACACTGATGTTTCTCTCCCTCTCTTTCTCCCTCCCTTCCCCTCTCTCTAGGAATAAATAAATAAAATATGTAAAAAAAAATTAGGGAGGAAGAGTCCCACACGGGCACCCCTATATCTACAGGCAGGAAGGCGGTAGAAGACCGAACAGCCCTACAGACGACAGGGACTGCTTGTCTCTGTTCCCCTTTAAGCCTGAGTCTCTGGGGGGCAAGGGCCCTTCCTTCCCCACCCCTTGGACATACAGCGCAGGGCCCGCCCAAGCAGGGCAGGCCGGTGACCATGATGTGTGAGAGCGCAGGAAAGTATGTTAAAGACGCTTCACAGAGGTTCGCTCCAAGTGGCTACATTTATTTGGGCGGTATGTATGAAAATGTGGGACCTACCATCAAACTGTATGCCATTTATTACTTGAACAATCACTGTATTTGTAAGTCACATATACCATGATACTTTCAATGTTCTGTCAGAAATATTTGGTTGTTTAAAAAAAAAAACCCCTGACATAAGGGTATGAGTCAGTTACTTAGAAAAATAATTTATGTGAAGCTATTCCGTGAGATATGACATTTTATTAAGTATTTCAAGGGTGAATTTCTTAGACAGAAAAGAAGGATCAAGCTCAGAGCACCTGCGGAGGACTAGGCTGGCCTAAGGGAAGGGCGGCAGTCAGCCGCGGAAATGCAACCAAAAAGCCGGACCTCTGTGGCGTCGGCAGAGCTTAAGCCACAGGACCACATCTCCCCATTGTCTAGGAGGTTTCAAGAAAGAAGAGACTGTGAGTCTGACACAGATTTCATTCCAAAAACAGTTAACTGTCCAAAGAGAACAAAATGGTGCCCTCTGATCTGACCCATTTGGTGAAGTTTTCTGCCAACTGCTGCATTTGCGGAACCGCATTGTCATACCAAATTAACACTGGGAATTACTAACAGAGACTGTGTCGGGATGCACACAGATGCGTGACTTGAGAGTAGATGGGGTCTACTTGTGCATTCACTGACTCTGCTCAGAGCTTAAGTCCAAAGCCTCTGGTGGGGGGTGGGGGTGGGGCTGAATCTCCACTGGGGCCACAGAGCTATCTTCTGGGGGACTGGGGGCGGGGGCAAATCCTTCTAGTGCTGAGGATAAGACTTTGAAGCAACATACAGCAGATAGTCTTCCTGTGTGGCCTTAGCTCCTAGCAAGAGGGTATTTCTTGCCCAGCTTCTGCTGTAAGAATGTAGGAAGGGGGAAGAGGAGGAGATTTAGAATGGCAAAAGAGAAGCCTCTGAAACACGTGCCTGCCTTGATATAAAGACCCTACGCGAGTTTTCCTTTCCACTGATTCATGCGAATAGTTCCTACCAGGGAATAAGCACCAGATACGGCACTACTAATTAACTAGTTGAAAGATGATTAAGATGCAGTATTATATATGTGCATGCATACAAACATGCAGTAAATACTTATTCTATTTAAGCAGTTTAGCAAGTCTCCTGTATATTAAAAAGATAACATCAGTGAGATGGAGTTCCTACGGTGCTGGCGGGGGGGAACATAAACTAGGAATAACTTCTTTGCAGGGCAATTTGGCAATACTTAGCTAAATTACTAATGTATATCCTTTTTGACCCAATAATTTTAAATATTTAACCTGATATATATTTGTGAATATAAAAAAAATGATGCATGTATAGGGTTTTTTAATACAACATCATGACAGAAAGAATGGAAACAATCTAAATGTTCATCAATTAAAAAAACGGGATAAATATACTATGGTACAACCACATAATGGAATACTACACAGCCTTAAAAAGGAAGGAAGAAGCTCTTTATATACAGATACGCAATGGTTCCCATGGTACAGTAAGTGAACTAAGAAATGCACATAAGAGTACGCTAATTAAAATAATGATGATGAGAAGAAGTACAAGAACACAACATAAGAAGTTTCTTAGCAAAAAATCAACTTGACCTGATCAAGCTCTAGATCTAATTACATTTTATGAGAAACACAGGATGTAAAGGAACACTGCGGGGATGCAATCAAGCAAAATCCAGTGTGAGAAACTCTACCGGACAAGGATAGTTTCTTCACAAACAAAATACAAATGAAACAAAACCTGAATTTAAAAAGAAGGAAGGCCTATAGGTTAAATGAGACTTAAGAGACACATTGTTACAATGTCACAAAATGGCGATATTCCCAAACTGATCTATTCATGTGAGCAATCCCGATCCCCAGCTGTCTTTTTTGCAGAAACTGACAAACTGACCCCAAAATTCATATGGAAACGCAAGAGACCTTGAAAAAGAACAAAGTTGGAGGGAGGACTCACACTTCCAAAGCAGTAGTGATCACGACTATGGTAATGGTATAAGGACAGACATATATAAATCAGTGAAGGGAAGAGTGAGTCCAAAAAGAAGACCACATTTGGTCCACTGATCTTCAAAAAAAGTGCCATGACAATTCAGTAAGGAAAGAACAGCCTTTTCAACAAATGGTGCTGGGCCAACTGAGTATCTGCACAGAATGAAACTGGATCCCTATCTCACACCATACATAAAAATTAACTCAAAATGGATCTATGACCAAAATGTAAGAGCTAAAACTCTTAGAACAGAGATAAATCTTCATAGACAATGGTTTCTTAGCTATAACAATTAAAAGTACAAGAAACCAAAGAAAAAATAGATAAATTAGATCTCATCAAAGTTCAAAACTGTTGTGTTCCTAGGACACTATTAAGAAAGTGAAGATACAATCCACAGAAAGGAACAAAATACTTGTAAATCATGTATCTGACCAGCGTGTAGGATCCAGAATATATAAAGAACTCTTAAAATTCAATAATTGACAACCCAATTCTAAAAAGACTCAGAATTTGAGTAAATATTTCTCTGAAAATAAATAAATGGCCAGTAAGTACATGAGACCGACATTATTAGTCTTCAGAGAATTGTAAACCAAAACCACAATGAAATATCACTTCATACCCACAAATATGAATAGTATATATAATAAAAAAGACAGTAACAAGTATTGATAAGGATGTGAAGAAACTGAAACCCTCATATACTGCTGGTAGAATGTAAAATGGTGCAGCCAATTCGGGAAAATAATTTGGTAGTTCCTCCAAAAGTTAAACAGAGTTACCATATGACCTAGCAATTCCATTCCTTGGCATATACCCAAGAGTGTTAAAAACAGCTCTTCACACAAAAATGTGTACCTGACTGTTCATAGCAGCATGGTTCATAATAGCCAAAAGAGGCAACTTACTCATTAGTTTGTCCATCAAATGATGAATTAACAAACGGACTGTGGCATGTCATACAATGAAATACTATTCCATTACATAAAGTACTGATACATGCTACAACATGAACTTTGAAAACATGTTAAGCAAAATGAAGCCAGACACAAAAGGCCATGTACTGTAGGATTTCATTTATATGAAATGTTCAGAAAAGGCAAATCCACAGAGTCAGACAGTAGATTAGCGGCTTCCAGTGGCTAGGGAGAGGAAGAACCGGGAGTAACTGCTAGTGGGAGTGGGGTTTCTTTTTGGGGTACTGAAAATGTTTTGGAATTAGATAGTGGTAATGAATACACATTTTTGTGAACATACTAAAAACTACTGAATTGTTCCCTTTAAAAGGGTGAATTTTATGGTATGTGAACTATATCTCAAATTTTTTTTTTAAAGCCTTATACCCAAATACAATGTCTAGTCCTCAGCTAGATCCTGACTGTTAAAAAAGCAATTGTCAAGAAAAAATTTTATAGGAAAATAAATACTAATTTGATCTATGCTAATACTTAGGAATTATCATAATTATTGTAGGTGTGGTAACAGGACTGCAATTATGTTTAAGCAAACAAACAAAAAAAGAACCCTTACTTTTTAGGGATACATACAAAAGAACTATGGATGAAACAACTGCTGTTGGGAATTTGCCTCACGATACCACAGTGGGGAGGTGTAAATAAGACTGGACACATGTTACAGATTGTTGAGGCTGCATGATGGGGTTCATTATCCCATCATTTTAACATCTGAATGTTTTAAGTTATCGATAATAAAAATTTTTTTTGAAGAATATATTTGTAATTGCTTGTACATACATAGAAGAGTTCTGGATGGATACATAAGAAATGTATGATACTATTTCCTTCTGGAAAGGAGAATTGGATGGAAGAAGATATATAGGTAGAAGGTAGACTCTTCATGGAATATCCTTTTTGAAACTAAATTCTACAGCAAAAAGGTATCAGCAACAGCTGCCCATTACCAGTGCTCAGATGCATATTTAAAAATATCTTTTTTTTTTTGAGAGGGAAAAATAAATGCAAGCTCTGTTTTATAGATGACCCGTTGAGTTTGGCTCAGACTCTCAGTCCCACAGGGAGGCAGAGGTAGAGCTGAAAACACTCTTGAATTTCTCACTCTTGATCCAGCCCCCAGGATACAGTCACCTTCACTGAAAACTGTGCCACGTATACAGTGCCAGACTGGATCACATAAAAGCAATCACCAAAGAAAGTGTCCTCCTGGAGACTGTAATAAAACTAGGCTCCAGCCAAACCAACCATCGGCCGGAGCCAGGCATTCTACCTCTCACTGGTAGCAAGCAGGGTGAAATCAAGAAACTTGACATTTGGGGAAAACAGAGAAAAATCCTTTGTGAGAAGAAGTGATATGACGAGGGCCCCGGCTTTGTAAGCGCTCCCAGAGAACACACTTGTCATTATCGGTACCATGGATTTCTAGCGTAACGCTTTGCAGGGCCGCCGACGCACCCTCGGGTAGGAACCCTGCCTGGTGTAAAGCAGCTCGGGAGGTGAGGTTTCGGTGGGCTAGCTGAGAAATGCATGCAGCCGTTCCAAGGGGCGGGGCACCCCAGTCTTTCACTGTGGTCATGCGCGTTACAAGCAGAGAACCGAAGGAAAGCTGCCACCCACCTTGATTCTTGCCATCTGGGTCAGGGTCCGATTTCAGTCTTTTTACACTGCTGCCACTCTCTGAGCTGTAACAAAAAACATAGTGATGTGAGCTGAATCCAGTCTCGGGGATCAAAGCTTTGAGAATCAGGAGCTCCAATAACCGCTGGTATGGATCTTAGGCAGCCTCAAGGGACAGAAACAATCTGAAATACAATGTCTTCATTTCAAAGTCTCCTAGTTTTATTATTAGGTATAAAAACAATTTAACCCCCTGGCCAATTCAGGAGGTAAAGCATTATGTCTTCCACCATTACCTAAACTTCAGATTCTTTGTTGTCCTTACCATCCATCGTGGTTAAAACCATGGATGGATTTCAGGAATATCTGGATACGTTCACAAATGACAAAAATGTAGTTATTAAAGACTGAGGGAAACATCTTTAGTGACATGCTAGAGGTTCTGAAAGTCATTCAGTAGACTGTCACTAAAAGAACATCTATGCCCTGACTGTTGTGGCTGTTAGCTGGGTGCTCTCACACAAAGTGAGAGGCTGCCAGTTTGATCCCTGTCAGGGCACAGACCTAGACTGCAAGTCTGGTGCCCCGTCAGGGCGTGTGCAGAGGCAACCCACTCACGTTTCTCTCTCACATCTACAGGCTTCTCTCCCTCTTATTCTCACTCCCTTCCCCTCCCTCTAAAAATAAACAAATGAAACCTTAAAAAAAATTTAAAATTAAAAAAATAAATAAATACAAGAACATTTAAACAATGTACTTCACTGAGGAAAGAAATAATCCCAGAAGGAAGGCCTTAATCCCAGAAGGAAGGGAACAACCCTGACAAATACAAATATAAATCTAAACAAATGTTGTCATTAAAAAAAAAGAAAGAAAAGAAAAAAAGAAAACATCTAATTTGTGGTGTTAAACATGACCATACTAAAGTGGTAAGCAGTAGCAGCATGTAAGAAAAGAAGAAGGTGATTGTAGCTAAAAGTCCTAAGGTCAGTGTATAATTTTGCAGGGAAGTAAGGTAGCTATTTACTTTAGGTTTTGCTAAGTGTGCCTGGTCAATTGCAACGTTAGCCATCGAAAGAACAGAAACAGAATACTTAAATCCAAACTAGTAGAAAGAAAAAAAGTGAATAAAATACATTTTAATCTTAATTTTTCTAAAGAGAATGCAAGAAAAAATTCTTTTAAGACAAATAACATTAAGATGGTAAAAGCTGTATCAAAAGTCCTAATAAATCCAACCTACCAGTAAAAAGAGATCAACAGACTAAATTTTAAGTTAGCTACTTATGACACACACCTAAAAACTTAAAATGAAACAATTATAGATAGACCTATCAGAAAAAAAATACTAACAACTTAACTACTGCATTTGAAACAAGACAAAATGGATGAATTCCCAGAGAATATAACCAAATAAAACTGACTCAAAAAGATATGGATAAGCTTAAACAGTCCTATAATCACAAATTTTAAAAGGAGGGGTCAAAATGATTTTACACAGGAGTTCTTCCAATTTTTCACAAAACAGGACTCTCCCATCTTATACAAACTCCTCCAAAGAACAGAAAAAGAAGGAACACTCCCTAATCATTTTACAAAAATAGTTTTAATCTTCATGTCAAAATCAAATAAAACTGGGGAGGGGAGTTAGGGAATACAGATGAGGCTCACTCCAGAACATATGTTCAACAACATTTAACAACCAATACAAAATATTAGCAGAACAAGCCAGTTAAGCTCAGAAAAGTAATGACGTATCATTGCCAAGCTGGGTTTCTCACAGGAATGCAACATTAGAAAAATCTGTAAATTTCATTTTTCATTGTAACAAAGAAAAAAAATTTTCAATTCAAAAGCAGAAAAAAATAGATAAAATTTAACAGTCCATGTCTACAAAAAAAATAAAACAAAAAAACCCCCAAAACCTGTTATCAAACTAGGAACAGAACTTCTTTAATTTGCCAAAGGATATCTGAAAAGACAAACGATAAATGCTAACTTTAACGTGAAAAAGTTACAAACATTATGTTTAAAATTAGAACTAAAAGAGGAATGTGCAGATTTGTTTCTATCTAACATTTTACTTGTAATTCTAACTAGTGAGGTAAGATAAGAAAAAGGAATTAAAAGATATAAGAGAATAAAACTGTAATTATTAAAATATGGTAACTTTCTGCATAGACATTTCAAAAGAACCTGCTGATAAATTATTATAGCTAATAAGAGTTACTAAAGAATTATCATTAAAGTTAGTAAGAGCTGGTGGCTAGATGTAAGTATTTCATCAACTGCATCTTTACACACCAGCAACAAAAATATATACAATATACTTAGGAATAAATTTAATTAAAAATGTGCACAACTTTTTTGAAAAATAACTGTAAGATTTTATAGAATGACATTAAAAAAACCCAATAAATGTAGATATATGCCATGGATAGGAAGACTCAAATTCATAATGACCTGTTCTCGCCATAAATTTAACAAGCAATTTAATAACACTTCAATAAAAATTCCAATAGAGATTTTTAAAGACCTTAAAATCTAAAATTTATATGGAAGAACAAAGTGACCAAGACATGACACCTCTGAGAAGAACGTAAGGGGACCTGCCCTGTCAGATATCATGATTTATTAAAAAGCTACAATACTTATACAGAATGATACTGGTCCAACAAATCCAAGGACAAGGGAAAAAAAGAACCCTCAAACAAACCCAAATATGTATGGAAACTTGTTACCCAAATACATATGGAAACTTGTTACAAGACAGAGCTAACATAAAAGATCACTGGGGGGAAAAGGCTGTATTTAGTAAATGCTGTTAGAAAATTTACTTTTCGTTTGAAGAAAAAAATTGAAATGGGATCCCTACCTCATTTGCTTCACAAAAGTTAATACAGATAGTTTAAAGACTAACATGTGAAAGACAAAACTCTAAAACTTTTAGAAGAAAAACTATCTTATGACCTCAGGGTAGGTATCAATTTCTTGAACAAAATATAAGATGCTCTAACCAGAAAAGAAAATACTGATACAGTTGACCACCTTCAAACAGTACAAACTCCCAGTTATAAAATAAGTAAGTCTTGAGGATGCAATGTACAGTATGGTGACTACAGTTAATAATACTGTATTGTATGCCTGAAAGTTGCTAAGAGCGTAGATCTTAGAAGTACCCATCATAAGAAAAAAAATTTTTTAACTGTGTGTGGTGATGGATGTTAACTATATTTAATTACAGACTCCCACACCTCACGCCAAATTTATGCACCAGAATCAGTGTAAGGCCTAGAAGCCACACTGGCAAACTCCCAGGTGATTCTGATAAACCCAGGCTGGAGACTCCTGCCCAGGAGGCTAATTTATCACCTTGCTACACAAAACAACAAGAAATGTAGTTTCAAAACATAAAGAGGTTATATATGCTTGCCACCCAGAAAGCTAATACAGCATCTCTTTGAAAGGTACCCCACCCACTCTGCAAGCAGCCAGACGCTACGGAGGGGACTAATTGCCCACCTAGGGGGCCCTTTGTTGGCGCAGTCCTCAAAGACCCGGGCCAAACAGGAAAGCTTAGGTGAAAACTGGCCTTTTCCAGGCTGCTGATTCTCCTCCCTCCTGCTGCTACGCCATGGAGACATTTTCACATGTAAACAGTGCTCCTAGGAGCGGCTACAGCAGGTGGATGGCGTGCCAAACCACAAGGCTGCATCAGTACATTCCCTTCAAAACACGTGGCTGGTTGACAATACACCATATTGATTTTCCTAATAGACTGCACTTACAAACTTGACATCATTTTGCTCATGGTACGATGGTCAAATTGCAATGGCCGGACTTAATCATTTTGGTGCCATTTCAGGATTTGGAAAGAGAGGAACAAACATAACAAAGAACTTAGCAATATCTCCAGGCAGTGCCACCACCCCCACATCAATGAAGCAGAGCCCAGTCAGGTCTATGACCCTGTCACAGCTGCCACGTTCTTACAGCCACAATGCCTTTGCAGCCGCTGCCCCGCCCCCTCCTGCCTGCCTGTCAAAACCTTAGTCATTTCCTCTCTCCTTCCCAGTGCCTGCCATAACTTCCCGAGCAGGAGCACAGGCTGGCCCTCCAGACAGTGGGGCTTCCTCCTCCCGCTCCTATTGCACCCTACACAAATGCTTTCCTAGAACCTGCTACCTCATTTGCTAGAAACATAAGTGCTCAAATATCGAACCCCTGCTCCTAGTATTTTGTGACCTTGGATAAAGGTTCTCAATCCCTCAAATTCTCGATCTCCTCATCCAATAATAGTTATTTGCATTTCATTGACTTCTTGAGAAGAACAAGTGAGATCATGTGCAGGAAGCACTTAACTCAATGCCTGGCACACAGCAGGTGCCCAGTGAAGAGTAGCTATTATTATGCTGAATGAACAGTCAGAGAGGGACCAGGGTCAAAGGCTATAGATGATACCAAAAGGGAAGGGGAGAGCAAGGTTAGGCTACCAAAGGCACTTCACTGAGACTTACACGCAGGTACTTTTGCTCTGGCTCTCGCACAAGCGGCATTTCAGGGTACACGGTCAGAGGGAGATTATAGTTGTGCAACTGCTGACTGACCTCTTATGCTTCACAGCTCCTGCCAACAGCTTTGCCTGGGAGAACTTGTTCTTGGTTTCTATGGGTTTCACAGCCACTTTCTTCTCCACTTCCTTCTTGTTTTCTGGAGAAATTCCAACTTTGTGGAGATTACTGTGAGTTACAGGTTAAGGGTCAAACTAATCAAAAAGAAGAGCTGTGGCAGAACAATGATAGATTGAGAGAAGGAACACAAAAATAATCCACTTGCACTTCAGCTCTGCCATGTAATGCTTAGCCTACTGATTTAACGACAACAAAAAAGCCCTCCCCTCTTTATTCTGCCACCAAACTCAGCTGATTTAAAGAGAAATGAAGCTGAACACACAGGAAGATGGCAAATCCAGCACAAAATAATATAGACAAGCAAACTTTCTCCCTCTAATTCTCTATGAAAGTCTGAGTACAGCCTGAAAACCTGCTATTACCAAACACATAGTCAGTACCATGTTTGCTAGGAAAAACAAAGATCTTAAAGAACATAAACGCAACAGAAAAAAAAATGGCTTCCCTGGAAATGTTTGCTTCCCACCCCCCCTTAAGGGTAAAATGAAATTTTGCAGAATGTCCTTATGACTACTAATGGCATTCAATCTTAGACACGAGGAAAACTAACTCCTACTCTGCTGGTGCAAAGCAACATCAAAATCACTTAAGGTTCATCGGAAAACAGTCAGCCTGTCTGTTGCCGTCACCACCCCCCACTCCTGTCACAGCCTACTGAGCGCTGCCTCCAGAGGCCCAGGAGCTACTTTTAAATACTCTCTCAAACACATTTTAATGAGAAGCCCCTGTGCCTATTCAACACAAGACACAAGAACCAAAGAGTTGTTTTTGAATCATAACCAATTCACTTGTAACATCGCTTTTTTCATGCTTGATGTCAATCTCTGGCTTCCAAGGTTTGTCACTTTCTTTTGTTCTCTCCACCAGCCTCCTCCCCACCTTCCCTTCCATTCTCTCTCTCAACCTATTATGCAACAGATGAGTATTCCAACAGGGAGCGATTCCTAGTCAAGACGCTGTAGTGTCCAACTGGGACAATGGTGACACCTAGTGCCCAAGGAACCTGAGAAGCATGTATTACCAACCCCGAGAGGCGGGGGTGAGGGCACATGGCCTAAGCTATTTATTTATGTGTCTTTAAACAACGGGGAAAACTGGGTACGAGAAATAAGGAAAGTCTAATTCTGATCACTCTTCAGGCACTGTCTCTGTTCTTATGGATACCAGTTACCTTAAATACCTGCAGCAGTCAATGGGGATGATGCACAATGCCCATTTCCATTAATTTAATGTTTTTAAGGTCATCATGGAAACAGATAGTATGTTTATACTAAATGTTCATTTTTTAAAGGCTAAAAATGAAAGAAACAGATTTTATCTGTGTAGTACAGAACGCCAAAAACCCTGAGCCTGCTGTGATTTTTACCTGTAACTCCATCATTAAGGGGTAGAAACTAAAAGAAAATTATTAACTATTGAAAAATAAAACAAATTGGAAATAACACAACGAAAGTACACATGTATTTATAATACCAAGACACATATAAAAACTAAAACTTAATTCTTTATTCTTTTGGAATGAAGAAAAATGTCCCACCTTTTCAGGGAGAGAGGAAGATGGGAGGAAGGAGGTAATGATACTGTTTTTGATCCACATCCAAAGCATAAGCAATTTCTTCCCTTAAGTCCCTCTACCCTGAAATGCTTTAAATACCACAAACACACTGCAAAACTCTCAAGGAATTCATTAAAAGGCACTTTTTGAAATTAGTTTTTAACACACATAATATGCTAAATACTGGTTAACCTGAAGGAAAAAAAAGTTTTGTTGTTTATAAGGTGCAAACCACAGCTTATTTGTATTTACGAGTATCACATTACAAAATGTATCATATTATAATAATCAATTAAAGCTGAAAACCAGCTCCTGGTTCTGAGCTTCTATCACAAACATCTAACCCTTCAATCCTATCCCAACATGTCTCTGGCTACATGCACCCTTAGGATTAGTGTATTATATGTCAGTGAGTTGGACGGCTTGCTTTTCTTCAGTTTTTCTAAACAGTCAGAACTTTCCAAGTTTCCAATGAAAGCCAATACCCCTGGGGCCTCTTCGATGTGGCTGTAGTAATGTCACGAGGACAAGACAGCCTCTTTGGCCTCACTCCTGCACTGTTCATTCTTCCCTTTGAACTGCAAACTGGAGGGCCTCCCACACTCACACCATAAGCGACACCGCTCTCCGGAACGCTGCGTTGGGAGGCGCTCTGTCTTGTGCTTACCAAATTAAGCACATAAAACAAGACAATTCAAATAAGAAGTGTAATTACTGTATTTCCTTAGAGAAAAAGCCTGGTGCCTGAAACAATGCAATACATATATCTGCGCTCTCTGCAAACAATAACGGATAGTGTTATTCTGGGGTCAGCAGAGGGGACTCCGGAAGAATCAGCCTCAGTCCCACAGCTGGGGTTGAGGTGTACCTTTCCAGCAACCCTTATTTTGGTATTACACCAGAATGCCACTAGGAGAACGGGGACTAAAGCCAGGTCTTTTGCTACCATTAAGAGAGGTCTTGTGGCACCGTGCTGCCGCCTTACTTTAATCACCACCACCTTGATTTAAACCAAATCCCTAGAAATCTCTGCACGCTTTTTCCCATATAACTCTTTAATGGAACCTACTGTACACTCCCCACAAAAACCAAAAAACAAAACCCAACACATACACGCGGTATCATATCAATCTTGGAAGAGAAGCCTGATCAATCACACTGGTAAGGTTATTCAATGTATTAACCTTGAAAGAGTCAAATCAGATTTCTCATAGGAGAAAAAAAATCCTAGGGCGGCTTCATTAACCTCTCCTATGAGCCATTCATTACTTTATCCACGTATATACTGAGAAACTAGTATACGCCAGGCACTGGGAAATCAGTGGTGACGAGGTTCTTGTTCTCGTGGAGCTTACTTCACGTTCCAGCAGTAAAGGGGCAAACGAACCAATACTTTCCAGTAGTGACAATGACAATGGCTCTTAAAAATGACATTACAGTGATGGGAGGGGGTGCAATTTTAGGTGGGGCGCTTAGGGAAAGTCTCTGTGAGGAAGGGAGATGTGAACTGAGACCCAACGCCATGAAAGGCAGCCTTGTAAAATCGGAGGGCAGGGCATTCTTGGCCAAGGAAACAGCAAAGCTCAGTGAGAGAGAAGCATAAAGAAGGCCAGTACAGCTGCAGTACGGCGAACACCAGAAAGAGTAAGTTCAAGACGCAATGGGGAGGTGGGTTGGCCTAAGTAACGCAGAGCCCTGTGGGGCCTGGTAAAAAATGTAGACTTAATGCTAAGTGCACCAGAAGGCCACTAGTGTTTCAAACAGGGAAGTGACAAGATCCCATGCACATTTCCAAAAGTTCCCTTTGACTGTACCTGGAGAAGGGACTGCTTGGGACGAGAGCAGAAGCAGAGACCATTTAGGTGGCCACAGTGGTCCAGAGAAGAGTCTGAGCCTACTGCAACGGCAATACGGATAGCAAGAACCACACAGATTTGGAGTAATTTTGGAGCTAATTTTTGAGCCAGGCACCTGGAGGTATAGGAGTACCATTACTGAGACTGAAAAGACCAGAAAAAGAAGAGATTTGGGGAAGGAGAGGCAGCGCGATGAGGACGGGCGTAGTGAGGCATGCATCTGAGAATTTTGATTTAGTCAAGTTACACTTGGGATGCCTATTAGGACATTCAAGTGAATGCTAAAAAGGCAATACTGATCCAAAGCAAAGTCACCTTTGCTGCTTTCTCTACCCCTCTATGGGGTACAGAGGTAGCTGCAGCTATAGGGAAGGTTAGTAAAGACCCCAGAGAGTTGGTAAACATTTTCTTTTAGAACTCAGAAGCCAATTTCTCCCCTGCATGAGGTATACTGCAGAGCCCATCTGTTTCAGAGTCCAATCCCATAAGACAAGAATACCCTGGTACTGACTATTAGGGCCTAGGCCTTTAATTAATCATAAAGGCTCTGGACTTTTGATTGCTACAAATTCTTACATGCAACGTAACTCTGTAAATCACTGGCAGTTAGTTATTCAGAGTCATAAAAATGTCACCATTGAAAGGGAACTTAGAGATCACCAGGTAGAAGAGACCTTCATTCTCTTTATAAAGACACTACAATCGCAGAGGTTGATGGGAAAACTGACACCTTAGAGACTTCTCTCCAAGTACAAAGGATATTCTGTATTCCTTCAGTTCTTTCAGTTCTTCTTCTCTTCGTTGCTTTTCTATTAATTCCTGCTGCCGAGAAACCTCATCAAGGAAGTTGGTCTCATCTTCATCTAAGCCTCTTACCATGTTTTCTGAGGAAATAATTAAACAAGGACCACTGAGCAGGCTAAAGGGAAAATACAGTCAAATAAAAATTTTCCTTTTCCTTTTTCTAAATAAATGGCAGATCCTTCAGGGGATTAGAAGAAAGAATTTGTAAACACCATGGCTTTTGAATAGATAACATGGCATAAAATCAAGGCATTTCTCCCATTACTAGATATTAGCATAGAATTAAAATGGGTATCTTGAGGTCTAAACAAAAACGTTCAATGTCGTCTAGAAGTTTGTCTCTCTTCCAGCAAATAAGCATTTAGAGACTAAATAATCAAGATAATGCCACGGCTATTTAGAAAAAGTGCGGCATGAGGCCAAGGGGCACTGAGAAGACCCCGCAGAGCCCCGTGGGCTCCGCGCTCTCGGAAGCTTACTGAATTTGAACTGCTCCTCGTACTCCTGCTGCTTCCTGTCCTTCTGCTCCTGTAGCCTTTCATAGAGAGACCGCGGGTCATAAACCTCCTCTGGACACTCTGAAAGGAAGAAAGAAGGGGAGAGAGAAAGGGCGGGGGTGGGAGGAGAAGATGCACACTTTATCACTCTGTCATATTATTTTGGAATTGCAAAGGATTTTACAGATCAAGTCAAGTCCCTGCATGATCTGAGGGCAAGGATAACACAGAAATAGTACAAAGTCCATAGCTTCCCTTTGGCCCTCAGAGCCAAATGTCAGCAGTGCCCATGGCCTGAGAAAAGTAACTGAATGAGGGGTCAGCCCAAACTGTACCTAGCAGCAGCATTCTCAGTTGTTCAGTTCTCGGATCCACATGTCTAGATAGAACAAACTAGCAGAATCTCCTGGAAGACAGTGTGGTAGAGTGGAAAGGACAGGCACGTGAGTACCCTGGCTGTGCTCCCGGCTCTGGGGGCCTAGCGGAGGCTCCTTCACCCCTCTGGGCCTGTACTCCAAAGCGAGGGCACTAATACCTGCTCTGCAGGGCTGTTGTGAGGACTGAGATCATTATGTTCAACGCCAAACTGTAAGCCCACATACCTTCTGGATCTTCAGGTTTTCGAACCTTCTCCCATTCTTCCTGCCTCCTTTTGCGCCGTTCATCCAGCTCTGCCTCGGTCACAAATCTCTTTTTGATAACAAGGTTACCGTCATCCCCTCCATCCATTGTGGAACAATCAGTCTACGGAAAACAGAGAGAATGTTTCAAGTGAGAATTACAATTAAAACTCCAAGGAGAAACAGAAGATTTAGCTCTGTCTCACCCAGCAACAGACTACCTCGAACTCCCCTTTGACCTTGCATTGAAGAAATCCTCAAGTAGTTTAATTTATAGGTCAGTGAAAAAGGCACGTGATTACATTTCCTCCGTTGTATGAAGTAGTTTTATTACCACTACATTATCTACGAAGTCAGCAAAAGGATATGGAATAATTGTCATTATGTACTGTTCCACAGTAAATCTTACATTGCAAATACTTCTCGACAGATTTCCTCCTGGGCACCCTTCTTCCCAGTTCGCATCCTCCTCTATTTCTGTAACACCTGACATTGTTACTTTTTGAAATTCCTGTTTCAGGGACATCACACTGCCTCCACTCTCCTGTTCTTGTTTCCAAATAGATTCAGAATGAAGAAACTCAGGCATTCAGGGAGCCTTCGAGAGCAACCCTGGCCTATAGAGCGAGAGATGTGCCTAGAGGCACACAAACCGTGAACGGGAAAAGTGAGACTACAAGAACTCAGATCTCCCAACTTTAGATTCAATGTATTCTGCGTTATACTCAGCTGACTCCTCCTCCATCCCCTTCCTGACCTTCCTCCCTGCAAATTCCATATCCGTGCCATCTAAGATTCTATCTTCAGCCCTTCTCTTCTCCCACGATGACCTCAACCACTTTGTGCACACCTTGGTGCGGAGGATTCCCAAACCCTCTCTGTGTACATACCTCTAACCTGGACCCCTCTTCAGAAAGGCAAGGAAAAGGAAATAATGACAGAAAGTTGTGTATTATTTCTTTTAAACAAAATTTCTCTGCTTTTCTTTGCTGTTGTCTTTCCTTTTGAAGAACTATTATGTGCTATTCACAGAATTACATGCTAATAAGGAAGCATATAATTGATGTGCTGTACTGGCACATCAAGTCAATGTCCATTTCAAGATGACCCCTAATAACCAAAATAAGAAGACTCAATACTCTGGTTTCTCTTCAGAGCATATAAATCTTTCACCTTTGACAAAGTAAGAAGTCTCTACTGCTAGCACAGAAATAAAACAGCAACATTTACTGAGCATTACCATGTACTGAATACTTTTTATGTATTATTACCTCATTTACACTCACACTGACCCTATGAGAAACACATCTGTTTACGGAGGAAGAAACTGAGGCCCAGAGAAGTTAGGTCACTTGTCGAAGGTGATGAAGGTGAATGGTAGAGCTCGGAACCAAATCCAGGCCTGACATCAAAAATTCACACGTCCTTCACCATTGCCCTCTCCAGACACCGCGGATCCTCACTAAAAAGCACATGTTAATTTCAGCTCTCTTCCTACATCAAATTCCAGTGCTGGGAATGTTCTTGTAAAGACGTTATTTAATAAAGATGAAAAAGCTGAGACAATAGATCCAAACATTTAGAACAAGGGGAGAGTCTCAGCCTAAATTCTACTGTTGCTGAAGTTTAGTTCAATGTAACAATAAGAGAATTTTAAAATTTCCTAGAAAGAAAACCAAATCAATTGACAGAACCTGTGGCTCCCACTAGAGCCCACTACTTGGACACTTCCGATTTTGCATCATGTGACATCTCCTCCCAGAAGCCTATTACAGAAACAGAACTGTCCAGTCTCTGTGAACATGCCAAACATTCAATTTCTGCAGAACGACCTCTTGTAAAACAGGAGCCAGCATTTTCTTAAATGCTCCTGGCAGAGACAACATCCACCATGGAGGACTCCAAGGGACCGGAGAGGTACTGGCCTCTCGATCTCCCCCTTTCTTATCCTCTGCTGGCGGTAGCTCTCCTCTCTCACCCTGCACTGGCAGTCTGAGTTCTTCCCTCACTCGCGTTTCCCAGTAGATAACTCTAGTGGAATGGGTCCTTCCCACCCATTAATCTGACTCTCCACCTGGTGCCTAGAGATCTTCATCCAGCCTGTATTTAAAAACTTCACCACACTCCCTCCTTGAGCAGATCTCACTGACAGTATAATTCTTCCTTAAACTGCACTGAACTCTGTCTCCCTATAAATTCTACACATTGGTTCGACCCACTGGGACTAAACAAAAGGAGCCAAGTCCCTTTGTCAACCTGACAATGCTTGAAGTTGTTTAAAGACAACTGCCATGTTCCTCCTATGTCACTTTTCTGGGCCAAACATCCCTATGGAGAAAAACAGTAGCAGTGTCTCAAAGTAGTGCCTTTATCAGATTGCATATGATTTAAACCCAAGAAATGAGTATTACAATCTGTAATGCCAATGACATCTCTTCATTCTCATACATTTTAAAAAATGGAAATATATATTTATATTGGGAAAAAACTTCCAATAGGCCAAAATAAAACCTAGAATCTCACACACTTTCTTCTAAAGAAGAATTCAGAGACTCTCAAAATTTATTCTTATAAATCAAAATTAAGAAAGGAAAATCATTTACTTCAGTTTCATGGCCTGTTGAGTTTTTGGAAAGAGAAGAACCTACCTTAATTTAACCTTCACAAAGATCCCTGAAACTCAGGGACAAAGCCTTTAGGATATTTGTAACCAAGGGTTTGAATCTGTGAAACTCCAGAGCAGATTTCCAGCTGGCATGCCACAGCAGGCACACTGGAGCACCACAGAGTTTTTAAAACATGCAATACCTGACTACTTAATCAGGAGCACTGACTTCTTTTCTCTTAGATTGCCAAAAAAGAAAAAAAAAAAAAAAAAAAAAAAGAATGATAACAGCCAATACAAAAATAACTGACCAGTGTGAATGAATCAAAACTATACCTATTTTTTTTATAGATCAGTGAAAAATATATTTTTGATGTGCTGCAGAACTTTAATAATTAGTTATATGTGCTATGAGATTTAAAAAAGGTTGAAAAATTGCTCTAGAGAAATAAGGACCATCCCAAGATTTATCAATCACTTTTGAGAAATGACAAATTTATGGAATTCCAAGAACTTCTTACTATCTTTTTCACCAATCTTTTTCACGTAAGTGTTAGAATTCACCTTCTACCCAAAGAGCTGAGTCTATGCTACCCATCTTCCACACACAGGGACAAAATCAGGAATCAGCTGCTAATGAAAAGGAGGCAGAATCATATTAAAAAAAGAAAACTTAAAGACAGAGGCTTTAGAATTTAGAAAGGTGAAAGACAATGGCGCAGACACTCTTACTTCTCCTCAGCTCTCAGTGGGTTGGTTTCCTGAGGAATGTTTATAAAAGTTTGTTCTTTATACCTGTTACTGCAATCCTGACATTGTCTTCATGCCAACATAAAGTTCAGTATAATAAACTTGCGAGCTTAAAAGAGACCAGACTAAAACACGGACTGCTTTATCCATCGCTTCCACTTGCATCTCTTCTGCAGGTCCTCTTCCCCTGGCACATCACCTGTGGTTCCCTCCTTGCCTTCAACGGCTCTCCGGCTGATTTGGTCATCTGCTGTTTGGACAGGTCACAGACAGGGAATATTCTTTCTCAAGAAATATACGGCCTTCTCAGAATTCAAAACTCCATTCTCAAAAAATACTGCCGAGAAGTAAGCTTAACTTCATACCTTCCATTACAATCCAACATAATTCAACTAAATACATAACAAGCGCCTTCTGTCGCGGTCTTCTCATGAAGAGGGAGGACAGGTAATGATAAAGAGGACAGAAGACTCTAAAATCAAGAGACAGTAGTTCGAAACCTGGTTCTGCCATTTACCAGTTGCGGGACACCGGGCAAGCCACTGAAGTCCTCTGACCCCTAGTTCCTCATCCACAACCGCATTCACCGGTGAGGACTAAAAGAGTACTGCGCCAAGTAAACCTTTGGTGAGGATAAACAAGGCGATTCACGTAAAGCACCTCACACCATGCTTGACACATTCTTACAAATGCTTCGAAAGGTCTGCATCACCACAAAGCGGTGTGCTAAGCTCTGGACAGGTTGTAGGAGTGAGAGACATACTGTAGGCATTCAAGAAGCAGGGGAGAGACATAAATAAATCAGCGACATAAACAATCATGACACTCGAAGTGGGAAAGGGATCACATCAAACTGAGAGACATTAGGAAAAACTTACATGTATAAATAATTCGGTGCTTCTACATTTTCCCTTTCACGTGGTTCTCTAGAGTACTGTTTACTTTATTGGTTTTAAAATTGAAACAAACTCAGCACTGTGCTGAATGATGAACTCTGTCCAGCACTGGGCCAAATTCTACAGTGTGCGAAAAGGAAATAAACTTTTAAAGACATGGTACTCTTGACCGAGCTAATACCAGATAGTGGTGTGTACAATGAATTACCAAAGCAAAAAGCCCCAGTAAGGGGGAGTAATGAAGGGCGTGGCTATGAATCGGTCCGCTGTCCCAGGCTGAAACCCTGGACATACACCGTCACTCCTTCTTCCTAACATTCCTACGCCCACCAGTCACCAAGTTCTCTTCTTTCTGCTGCAGAATGACCTCTTTTTAATCCACCCTTTCCTTTCTTCTTCTTCTTCTTCCTTCTTTCTCTTTTTTCTTTTTTTTAAAAGGAGAGTCCTTTCCTCTCTGATCTCTTCTCTTCAGGGCCTCCTGTTACATGGGCTGCTGCAGTAGCCTCCCATTAGTGTCCCCGTCGCTCGTCCAGCCCCCACCCCAGCCGTTTGTGTATACCTCCTCTACAGCACTTACCCATTTGTTTTATCATTTATGCCTGTTCCAACAGCTCTGTGTATCCACAGTGCTTATTAACACAGTGTCTGGCATATATAAGTATGTAATAAATACTTATTGAATAAACCAACCATAAAGACAATTGAAAGACTGTAGCAGGGAGGAATGATCTCACATAAACATTCCTAGGTATTGTTTGATCTAAGTTATAGAGAATGGTAGACATTAAAGAATTTGCTGAGTCTTCTATGTCCCATGGGAAATTCTCTTCAAACACCATAAAATTTGTAAAGTAGGAAACACAGGACCAAAAATTAAATCACTTTATCACATAATTGATGTCTTCAAGAATAACTCTCACTATTCTCCTTTAATTTCAACTAACTAAAAAATGCTCTCTTACACCGATTAATAAGTATTTCCCACACAAAACATTTTTCTTTGAAGAGTCCAACGTTCATTTGCTGTTTATTCTGCAACAGGGAGGTGATGAGTACCTACAACTCATTTACCTCCTTCTGGAAATGATAGAAAAATGAGAAGTTAAAGTGTTTATTTCTAATTCCTACTGCCTAGCTAAATTTTCACAAGTCTCTTATTGCTCTCCTTTGTTTGCTAGAATAATTCAAAACAACACAAAACATAAACAAACAACTAGGGGTCTGGGGATCTAACCATAACTCATGTAGGAATATTTTGTCCTCATTGTGTTTAATTTTAGAAAGAATGATATCAACTTTCCTTTTATGCACATAACTTTTTTCTTCAAGGTGACCAAAGTTAAATTACTAAACTAAACATTACATTATTTTTAAAAGAATTATTTAAATTCTTCAAATAGGGAATTCATGGAAAACCAAAACCATATCAAAATCACTGTCCAAACTTAAAAGTTTCAAACTGATACAAATAAAGAACATAGTTTTCACATTTGCTTGACAACCAAATAAACAAAGTTCTTATATTTCAAGCCAAAGTAACTGTAATACAGTGCTCTACTGTGTTTGCACTGGAGACTGTGGTATTTAATTTCCAGGTTGGTGGGTAAAAAATGGGCTCAGTGTCTTACACAGCATGCCATGCAAGTTTTAACACACAAAATTTACATCGTTGCCTCCAAAATAATTGTAATCACTGAAATGAAAAATTTTTCCACTTAGGTAGTGCCACGATACAAGTTAATGAGATCTCGTTTCCCATGGAATTAAATTTTGTGATGGGCAGACTAAAGTGTTTACAGCACTCACCACCATAGCTTCCCAATTTTAACATTAGACAGACTGAAGGGTAAGAATACACTGGGGGAGCTCTGTGTTAGTGTGTCCTACGGCTTCTCTCTTTGGGTAGTGAAAGCAACAGGCCAATACACTTTCCTTTTGTCAGGAAATATAGTCAAGTGCTGCTCTTACTACATTTTTACCCTGATGTTCCAGTCACATGGGATTTCAAAATACAGGACAGCTACTAAGAGGAATGTTCCATCTGGCAAACTCAACTACATTCCAAATAAAGACTGCTTTCTGGGCAGAAGGCTCCTCTACCAGCTACAGTCATTTAGACCAAGCCAATTTTCCCTATATTATAAAACTTCAGAGAATGACTAACACTCTGTTAACATTTATTACTAGACACAGTAATCCTCAATCTTCTCACAATGAGGCTTATTGTTACCCCAGTACCAAAGGAAACTAAAAGAATCTAAAAATGAGGGCACAGCATAGCGATTTAATTCACATTTAAAATGTTTATTATAAAAAACAATTGGCAGTAACCTTCTGGTTGTCTAGGCATCTAAAAACACATGCAATAAAAAGTTTGTTTTTTTAAAAAAATCTATATATGCATGTATCTTCCCATGAGAACTGAGCCTTATTATATGTGCATTTACCTTGAATTTATCTATAAGCCCTGGAAGAAAAAAGAGGGAACTTAAAATATTGGCTCCCTTAGCTGACCCTCAGGTCCCCAGCTCCTGTGTGCCTGCCTGAGCATAAACACGTCCCTCACTATGTATGATTCTAATACAAGTTGTGTTTGTTACATATTGTGACTCCTAACTGCAAACCAACTACTTCATCTGGGGCTCACAGGAAGAAAAGCAGCATCCGTTCCAAAGCTGGAGAAAAACCTGGCCTGCTGAAATTTTGCCGCGCCGGTACACCGACATCCCACACGGTGCTTCCCTCAACAGATGTGCGGGCGACTTTGATTATTTTCGCATCTGGGCTGGGTTTGGCACGTAGCCCGCACTAAACCATACCGTCCCTCCCCCAGGCTCTATGTAACTCCCCTTTAAGGACATACTTTCTAAAAAATAAATAAAATAAAGGCTTTACGTTGCACAACCGTACATAAGGCCAACTATTTCATTCAGTTGTATTTATGAAGTAAGGCACACAGTGCTTGGCACTAACCTGGCACTCTAGTATTTAACAAGCGAGAAACTTGCATTCAGTAAGAGATAAGGTTGGCACAAGACCAAGTTAGAAAAGAGGAATAAAAGTAAATGCTGCAAGAGAATAGAAGCTAAGGAGTTCAGAAAAGACTAAACAAACAAAAAAAAAGCACCAGAGAAGCTTATCTTTGACAGTAGCCATGACACCGCTGCAAAAAGTGGTGGAAGTTTTAAGCATACAAAGAAAAATAATCTTTAACTCCACAATGCCTGAAATCACAAATTTCACACTCCAGAATCAAAATGAAAGGAAGGGTGCTATCATTTACAGAAATAGTGGGTGAGGTTATTGAGACCAATCCTATACTTCTTTAATAAAGACAGTAATAATAAAATAACTGGAAGAAATTTTTAAAATAAGTCTTAAACAGAAAAGCTAACAAGATAGTTCTGATAACTCTCCCTGACTGGGGATAAAACCTGCAACCTTGGTGTTTCGGAACAACGCTCTAACCCACTAAGCTACCCAACCAGGGCTATGCTTACAATGTTTAAAGAAATAAAAGCCAAGCCTCAAAATTAATAGCAGAGAATAAGAAGCTGTAAAACAGTTGTACAGCACATTGAAAAAGGACCAAATAGAACTTCATGAACTAAAAAAAAAATGCAGTAACTGAATTTAAGATTTCAATGGATGAGTTTCATAGCACATTAGAAACAGGTTAGAGAATTATTGAAGCAGAAATTATCCAGAATGCAGTATGAAAATAAAATAAAAAGGGAGAAGAAGAGGAGAGAGGAAAAAAGGTCTACGTTAAACCAGTAAAGGAGGAAATAAAAACAATAGGGCAGAAGCATATACAGAGAAAAAAAGGCTGAGAATTTTACAGAACTAATGAAAGACACTAATCCACAAATGCAAGAAGTCTAACGAACACCAAATAAATTTAAGAAAAACAAGTCCACAGTAGGATACATCATAGCAAAAAAAAGCATAAAATCAAATATAACCACCAAACAATCTTTAAAGCATCCCATAGTAAAGAGTGAAACAGATATTTAAGAATGAAGTAGATTCAAAAGGTGATCCATAGTGAGCACACTGAACTTGCTTCGTTTAGCTGCCACAAAGGCGTAATTGCACCATGATAGAGCCGATGGCTAAACCATGCACTTGAATTACTTCGTTTACCAGATACGTGGTTTTTAATTTCTGAAGCAGCAACTTGACTCTAGGCAAACAGCAACACTTCGAAGGTGAAAGGAAAGACTTTTCCTAAAGGTAGATGGTCTTGAGGTAATTCTTCCTTTCTTAGAACCACAAAGAACTTACCCACTGGGATAAGACACCAAGGTTTCAGTTGAGAAAGATAGTGGGGCGGCTTCTGCTTTCAGGCCCTTGCAAATTGTTAACAGCTCACCTCGGGCTCTATTGGGAAGACTATAGAAGATGATTTATTCCAGTTCAACGTTTGGATCAAAAAGGAGTCTACACACTGATTCCTTTCAAAGAGTTCAGAAGCAGTGCCCTCCAAACCATTGTATACGGTCCCTCTTAACACATCAATGAACCCAACACCTGAAAAATCAACAGGTCTTACCTCACAGCTGGTACCCAAGAGGTCACTGGGGAATTCTGACCACCAGGCTGGCGCCTGGTTTTCTGCGTCCCACTCCACACCTACTCAGTCAGACTATCCCGGGGTGGGGTCCGAGAATCTGCATTTTAAAAGGGCCGTAGAAGATCCTGTTTTCTACGAGTAAAGAACCACTGCTAAGTCCGAACAGGGGTCCTCCTTTACCCCCGCGCGGACGTTAACATTCACATGGGCCACCAACTCTCAAACAAGGTGCTTCAACTCTCGATCTTTGTTTCCTAAGTTTTCTGTAAAACGAGTACGCTACAGCGACGGGTACATGGTACATAATAAAATGTGCTTCCCATCTTACACTTACTTACATGCTGTGATTCAACCATGTCCAACCAGGCATTCCCACATCTCCTGGGTAGCCTGGAGCTGTTCCAAGACCTCTGGAATACAGCCCGCTGCTCACGTGGAGCCTCGGCGGCCCCACCTAGCAGAAAACGTGCAGAGAAGCCGGCAAGAAGCCTGAAGTCCTCATTCCGCTTGAAACGGTATGGTCGCCTCCCCGACTGGACCCGGAGGCCATCTCGCGGACTCCCTCGGTCCCCCCTCAGGCTGGGCCCTGCAAGCCTCTGGCCCCGAGGACTAAGAATACTGGGCGAGGACACAGACTGAGAACAGGCCTGACCCTAAACCTCAAATCAGACGCAGCCCCCCGACCCCGATCTCCTCAGCGAAGAAGCTGGAGCCCAGGTTTCGCCGCCTGCCCAGCGAAGGCCCTGGCCGCGCTCACCTACCGAAGGGCGGGAGCCGGGACACCTTCTCCTCGGTAGCGCCCACCCCGAACCGCCACCGCAAACGCCGATTGCTCTTTAGAAAAAAAAGAGAAAAGAAAAACAAAACAGTCTTGGCGTTTGTATTCCTTTTGACCCTTCAGGGCTTCCTGTTCCTCACCGCCACAACAAAGGTCCGCCCCGCTTCCGGCGGCGTAACCCAATCCGCACCTCTCTTTCTCCCCAGGAGTCCGATGGAAATCCGGTGCCCAGAAAGCTGGCAGGAGACACTTGATTGGACAACTCACACCTCAGCCGTGATTGGACGGCTCGCGCCTGGGGGGCGGGCCGGGCCTTGTGATCACGTGACAAGAGTCCGGACATATGACTGGTCGCCAGGGAGAGGGATTGCCACCGAGGAAGGGGCGTTTCCTAAGGCGCTGTAGGAGGGCCGGGGCGGTACGAAGCGGGGGTGGGCCCCAGCACGTAATGGCAGCGCCGTGGCCTCGCGTCCATCTTTACCGCTCTCTCGGACCTGTCACAAAGGAGTCGCGCCGCCGCTGCCTCCCCCTCTCTCGAGTGGATCCGGGAGCTGGAGAAAGTCAGTGCCGCAGCCCAGCCGCCGTGCTCGGGGAAGCCCCTGGGGACGGGAAGGGGAGGGAAGTCCGAGGGCAGGGGACGTCGGTAAGGGAGGGGACAGTCCCCCGAGTCTGCGGCGGGGAACCTGACTGGTATCGGGGGAGGCTCCAGGAAGGGGCCCGGGATGGGTGGCGTTGGGCAGAGCATGGGAAACAGCCCGGAGGTTCTCTACGGAGGCCCGCGCTGCAGGCGCCTGATAAGGTTCCTGAAAGGGGGTGGTCTCCCTTTAGGGGATTCTCGACAGGGGGAGATTTTCGGGGGTTGCCCTACTGAGAAGGCCGCGGCTAAAGGGGCCCAGGTGAGAGGCAGGTAGCTCCCGGGAGGATCCTGTTATTTAGGAAAGCTCTCGCCTGTGTCCGGGGCGGAAGAGGTAGATGGGAGGATGCTTTGGGAGGGTTTCCTTTTGTGGAGTTTGAGGTTTAGGTGGCATGGGTGGGAAGCAAATGTTCCCCCGGGAGACATAAAAATGCCTCGGGGTGGAGAGATGCCTCGGAGAGAGGGGATAGGAGTTGGGAGCCAGAGCTAGCGGATTCCTGTTCTCCGGAGGCCCGGTGTGAAAAATGGTTAAGGGCCTTGGGGAGAGGGGATTGCTGGGCGGTTCTGGGAAGAAGAGATCACCATCCATAGGAAAGCCCCGGTGAGAAATAGTGAGGGAAGCACGAATACGAGACCGTTCTTCCTGGAGACCGATCCGGTGTGTTAAACAGAGAATTCAGCTGCTTCTGGGCGGAGTGTAGGTGGGGTGGGGGAAGTCCATCCCACCAGCACTCCCTGCGTGATCAGGCTTTTGCCCATACTGGCTGCCTCAGTTTCCCTGTCTTTGGGGAGGGAAATCAAGGTACAGATGGTCCACTGAGACTGCAGTTCTGTCCTTTGTGAGTGAGGTTGATCATCGAGCGTTGTACTTTGAACTTTGAAGGGCTGAGAGTGTCTTGTTGACCGAGTAGAGTCCGGCGGTTGTCCCAGCGCCTCACCTACCATCTAGTCCTTAGGCAAGTAACTTAACCAATGTAGGTCTCTCCTGTAAAATAATGCAGTGTGGAAAGTACTCTCCAAACTACAGGCTGTGTGAAAGTAAAGTACTGTGATTCTACCACCAAACTGCTGTTAAAGAATAAAAGAGAAGGCACTTAGTCTAAACCGTAAAACAGTATGGAGGTGTAAGGAATTGGCGTTAACAGTGGTTGTCGATCACGTTTGGAGTGCTGGGAGCCATATTAGACCGAAAGCTTTAAGGCTCACAGCTGTTTAGGTCATTTGATGATCTAAGCCCATGGGTGTCGACCCCTTCTGAGATGGGGGTGGAGGGATTTCCAATTTCCAGTTTTTGCTCTCAGAGTTTTAATTTACTTTGAAATTCTGATGGGCTGGCAGGAGGTAGCACTACAGTATCATCTCCTCCTTCAGGAAGTTTTTCCCTGACAGCTGAAACTTTCTTCCAAGTGATTTCATTTCAATAACAAACTACCTCTCCTTTTTCCATATGTATTTTCATGCCCTTTGTCTACAGGTAGTGAATATCTTTCTCTCTCCCTCAGCAGTGATTTTGTACCTCAGACCTCCTTTTCTCTCCATGAATATTATGCCTTCCTGTAGTAGTCCCAAACTATAAATTAACAATTGCTTTTGAATTCCTCTTCCACAATGGTTTTCTTTCTTTTTCACCATTTGTGGAGCTTGCATTTCCTGGGATGATATCTTGCTTTGCAGCTTCCTCTATGAGGTTACAAAGATACTTGTGTCCAGGTATAACATTTTTCTGAGGTTTGGTTACAGTGGCATTTTTTAGAGCTGGTTTTCCAAATATTCGGTAATTTATGATATTTGAAGTTTGTCTGTTTTTTTAAAACAAAAAGCTGACTTGTACTTCCTGTTTTTGTAACCTTATATTTCATAGGTCTTTTTAAAAAATCACTGGTGATTTTGTGAGCTTTCTGATTTCCCAGGATACATGTTGTCCTGACCTACTGCTTAATGTCTTCCTGTGACCTGCTTTTTGCTGTTTTCACAAACCCTTCATTATTTCTGTACTCCATGATTATTTTTAAATTATTGATTATAGGAAGTGTTCCAGCTTATGTTACGTGGACTTTTTCTGCTTTGTCAGCAAAATAACTTCACTTGGTAAACTGGCTAAGAATCAAGGGGAAATAAAAACTTGACGTTCCCCCTCTTCTATAGTGAATAGAGAAAGGCAACAACTCTGAAGTATGTTTTGGCAAGAGAATAAAAAAAAAAATCATTGTGTGTTCCTGAAGTGTCTTTGCAGCAGTTTATTTCAACTCACGAGCTTTAGCCTGTCAAGAGTTGCCTCTACTTTCCCTAATAATGAAGGTGTTACAATGGAATGAGACAGTCACTTTGCATCCCTCAAAATACAACTCTCTCTTCAATACTCTGATGGCTGTATAGTTTGAAAAATTACCAGGGATTCTTGAGGATGGCAATCACTATGACACTCCTTTAAGTTGGAGATTTTCTGTTTTGGGGTGGGATCCTCGCAAAGGAGGACTAGATAGCCACAGGGCTGCACCACAAATGGCAGGCTCAATGGAACAGTCCTCTCTTCAGAAGAGTTGCTTGGGGGCAGTAAACTATCAATTTAGCTACTTTCAAATATTTGACATTTTCAAGGCACTTACCATTGAATTTGGATGGTCCCCGCCCATATTCAAATTAGGAAATTGAAAAATAGAATAGTCAGGAAGTAGTAAATGCCAAAACTTGGGCCACAGCCTTTAGGAGGAGATGTACAACTTTTAGGAGTGTAAAAGAAATAATATTTTCCCTTTGGTTTATCTATTGAAAAAATCAGCGTTTGAAATAGTTTTCTTGCCAGTCCTTATGGTTAGAAAAAAGTACATATTTGTTCTTTTACTCTCAGTGTCCATTCCAAAAGGGAATGCTTGCTGGTTAAATATGTAAAAGCATATTTAACTGTGATATATATACAAGGCTAAATGAGGAAAGTTAATCTTATAAATAGTGGTGGGCCCTTGGAGAATATTTCCCTTTCTCCCTTTCTGAGCTTTTGAAAACTAAGAATGCATTTGAGATAGCAAAGAATTGATTCACTCCTTAAGTTTGTTAAGGAATGAAGGTACCTTCTGGTACCTTTCATACTGCTTGAAATTATGGTTTCCAGGCATAATTTCATGGGTCCTATACACATCAAATAGAAGGTTTGAAACACCTTATTTGGCCGGTTTAGTATTACCTCATAGTTTAATGTTTCAGCGGTAGCTTCTTTTCTACCCCTCCTGCCCTCTGAAGAGCCACCTTTCCTCCTCCCTGCTCCCCGGATGCACTGATTCCCAGCGCCTCACTCCTGCCCTGCCCCACCCTGTGGGAAGTGCAGCTCCTTTTTCTCATTCTTATTGCTTCATAGTCATTCATACCTACATGTGCCTAAGAGCCGCTTATTCATAACCTACGAAGTGAATTATTAAGGATTACTAAAACATGGTACTCATAAACCAAAACTAGCGCATTAGAGTTTATTGTTGTGTAACACCTTTTTCTCCCAGGAAGTCTGTCCCGAGAGACTTGGCACAGTGCACAGAGCTCCTTACCTGCGCGTCACGTGCAGAACCCGGATTCCTGCAGTCACCAGGAATGGTGCTGATTTTCCATTGTGCTTCCTCTTCTGGTTTGGTTTTTCATCAGAATTACTATTGGCTTCTTTATCCATTTAATTTATGGACTTTTGGTTAACCTTGCACTGTGGTCAGGGTATTTGTACCAACGATATTTTGGCTTATAATTCAAGACATGCATGCGTTGCAGTGAAAATATAAATCCTCCGCTCCCCTTTTGTTAGTGCTGATATATGGTCAGCTAAAAACTTGCTTGTACAGAAATACTTCATGTTACCAAGTTCCCTTTCCACTGGAAAAATGGGGGCATGAGAGGCCTCCTCCCGAGGGAGTGGGCAACACTGACCGAGGCCGGTCTGGCGTGTGTGACGTTTTGCGTAGGGCACTCAGTGTGCTGTCTGTTGCCGTCCTTCATCTCTTTGCCAGGAGCCTAAGGGACTTCTTTTTTTTTTCTTCTCTTCTTTATTGAATTTATCGGGGTGACTGGTTAAGACAGTTATATAGATTGCGGGATACAATTCTATTATATAATACATGATCTGCATTATATAATTGTATCGTACATTCACCACCCCAAGCCACGCCTCCTTCCATCACTATTTCCAGGGACCTTTTTTTAACCTTTGCTCATGGCCTGACATAGAAGCATTGGATTCATATTTATTGAAGGATGCTGTCTTCGTTTTTCAAAGTGATAAATATTTTGGAAACACTCTGTTTTTACAGACTTTAGAATAAATTCATTTTAAAGCAGTCATTGAATACCTTTTAAGTTCTGGCCATCCAGTTGAGTGTACAACTGCTTTCGCACACCATTTTAAGTAGATCTCATTAAGGGAAGTGTTGCTATTCATGCTGTTTATACATTTTGTTCACTTCTCTTAATAGTAAAGAGTTTTCAATAATTGAAAAATTGTATCCTTCAGATTTATGAATGACATGTTTAAATTACACATCTGCCTGATTTCCTA